CAATCTGCCAGGGATTGGATTTGCAGTGAGGTGAGCACGGGGAGCCCATCACAGGGTGCAGAGGCACCCCCCCCGGGTCTTCCCCTTCCTCTGGTGGCCCCCCCCATGAGGGAACTGGGGACCCCTGTCTGCACCACCACACCTTTAATGGTGTGTGATGGAGGTGTGTTGGGGGAATTACTCCCCCCTTGAAAAGGCCAGGACAAGCAGACAGGGCTAAAAATACGTTGGGAGGGAAATAAAACCTCCTGTGTCAGGGGCTAAAGCTGGGCTTAGAGCCCTGGGCTCGGCCTTGCGGGGCCTGAGGGCTCCCTCAGTGCTGGGGAGTGATGCTGAGCCAGGGTGTCTCCTGTCTCAGTTTCTCTCTGTGCTCCTGGGGTTGCATATGCCACCGACCCTGGCACCACATCCTGGGGGCAGCTCCCAGGCTGGGATGGGTGTGGGGTACCCCCATAGCCACATTGTGCAGGGTGGGGGGCAGTGGGGCACCCTCAGCCCCATGCTGACATAGGGCTGGGTGGAGGAGCTGGCAGCGCTGGGTACTGTTGGCAAAGCTGCTTTTTTTTTCCAGTTCCATGAAACATTTCCCTTCTTTGGAGACCCGGGGGGGAAGGTCGGCTGGGAAGCCACGTGGCCCCAGCGCTGCAGACCATGGGATCCTTCCCGGGGTGGAGGGCATGTCTCCTTGGCCATGGGCTAGGTCCCCTCCATGCTCCTTTTGTGCTGCTTGTGAGGCTTTTCCCAGATCCTATCTGCTGCTGTCATATCCCTCTTCTCCTGCAGCGGTGCCATGCCTGAGTTTCCCCATCTTTGAAAGCAAATCTTGGGGGCACCCTGGGGGAGTGGCTGAGCTGTTGGCTCCTGCATTCAGAGGGGGATGAGCAGGGACAGCACATGGGGTAAGTGAGGCACCAGAGGGATCTGCAGGAAAGCGGTGCTCCCAGCACCACCCTCCCAGCTCCATCCATCCATCCATGCATCCATCCATCCATCCCTTCCTCCACAGGGTACCACCACTGGGGCATCCCATACCCCGTGTACAGCACTCCCTAGTTTGGGGTGTATTTGGCAAAGACAGGGTGGGACCAGCGACACCGCTTGTTGGAGGTGAGGGTACAGACCAGAGGTGGGATGATGGGGGCAGAGCTTGCCTCCCCCAGGAGAGGAGAGGCTGTGCTGGCTGGTGCAGGCCCAGGCAGTGCTTGGCACCTGAAGAGAGCTGCTTTTCTTCCTGCTGTTTTCTAAGCAAACTGCCTGGACGGCCTTCCGTGACCTGTGGCTTCGGCATGCTCCCACTTCCAAGCGTCAGCATGTCGGCACGGCCCCAGCACCTGGTGCTCGTGGCGCCCACAGGACCTGGTGGGGTGGTTGTGGGCAGCACCAGGAATGGGGAGCCCAAAAGGCTCCCAGGGTCCCAGGACCACCAGGGACCCAGACACGTGGCAAGCTAGGTACTTTATTATAAGCCCATCGCAGTCTGATCCTGCATGGGGCTGAGCATCAAGGCAGTAAATGAAGCACAAGAGCTTGCATCCATCCTGGTTGACCCTCCTGACAACAGGGTGGCTGCATCCAGAGCATGCTGTGGGTATGGTACAGCCTAGAGCCCCACATGGATGTGTGGCTGGAGGATGCTGTCTTCTTCAGGGGAGAGGGGGGCACAAAAAACTCTGTGGTTCGGGGAGAAGAGCCATGGCATGGTTGCATCATGTCCTGCCTTCACCTCCACACCACAACGTGTTCTACCTCACAGCAGCTCTGCTATAGGGTTGGGTGTGCAGAGGCTTGTCCCATCCGCAGCTATGTTCCTGGGGTCCCTCCTTTGCCCTGTGCCGCAGTTTCCCTCGCTACCAGCATGTCAGTGCTGCTCTCCAGGGCTGGGGAAGCCTCTTGGGGATGTGCTGAGCTGGCCGGGAAGCCTGGCTGCAGCTCTTGTTAATAAATACTTTATGATGAATCCAAAGAGATTTCCTCCTCTGGAGCAATTATTTTAAAATGGGCTCTAATAGAGTGCAGGCTGGCCCCAGGAAGGGCTGGGTGCTTTTCAGGGCCTAAGTGCCTCCTTCCATCCCCTCTAATGAGCACTTCCCAATCATTGGCATCTGTCTCAGCAACAGGTCTTATTCCCAGGTTAACTTATTACCCAGAGCCGTTTTGGCAGACAGTTAAGAAGTGGCTCCTGGAGGCTTTGCAGGGGCCATACCAGAGTTTCATCCATGCCAAAGGCACCCGAAGCCTTTGGTGAAGGGAAACTGAGGTTGGGGCAAGGAGCAAATCCTCAACGTGCGCCTTTTGGGCACCAGGATTTGAGGATTTTGGGGATTACTGGAATCTCTCCAGCAGCATCCCCCCCTCTGCCACCATGCCAAAGCTTCCCATGGGGGCACAGTGCCTGGTGCTGAGTGTGCCGGCCCCTGCCTGGGTTGGTGTGGCCACAGGGAGCAGGAGCTGGCAGTGGTGCTGGGGTGTGTGGAGCCTGGCGGGGCCCCTCCACACCCCTTCATCGCACAGGGCTCTGCACTGCTCCCTGCGTGCCACAGAGACACCGTCCTGCTCTTCCCCACAGCCATGTGGTGGAGACCAAAACCTGCTGACAAAGTAAGTGACCCCTCCCATCCTCCTCCCCTCCTCCAGTGAAATCTGCTCGGGAATTTCCTGAGGAAGTGTTTTGGTTTTTTCATTGGAAAATTCAGGCTGTTTTGCCAAGCCTGACTTGTTTGGACACGGTGCTCAAGTTGAGGATGCTCAGGGACCGATCAAGCCTATGCTGCAGTGTCCCTGTGCGGCACAGAGCATCCCCCACCATGACAGGGTGGAAGGCACCTGCCGAGCAGCTGGAGTCAGAGGTGGCAGTGATGGGCATGGAGAGAGGCTCACACCAGCTCTGGGGTGCTGCTAAAGCCCAGTTAGTCCTGGCACAGCATGCCCAGCTCCACGGCAAGACTGACACTAACAGCCAGGCTTGACTCGTGCCTCAGTTTCCCCTCACTGCATCTGGTGCAGAAAGCCAGTGCTCTCTGTGGAAGGGGGAAACAAGAGGGTTCCTGTGCTGGGGCTGGCAACACCCCAACGTGGGCATGGTCTTTCTTACAAGCCCAGGCTGGATGAGGCCCAAGCACAGGCTCTGATGCCAGATTCCCATCCGGAAATGCCCCAGGACCAGCCTTGTCTGGGGTATTGCAGCACATCTCTGTTTTCCAGTCCCGCAAAGGAAAAACAGCAGGAGAAGCACTTAACCAGCCCTTTGGCCCTTTGCCGGTGCTCTGTGCTGTGTGCAGAGCATGGGGATGGACCCCAGGTCTTTCAGTTTGTCCCTCTCAGCTGCAGCCATCCCACCCACCCAGTGCCCCTGGCTGCCTGCCCCTAACCCCTCTTGAGCAGCTTAACTTGGAGAGCAGGATAAGCTGGAGGGAAAGTTGCCAACGGGCTGATGGCTTTGGGGCAGCTCCTGTCTTGCTGTGACCCTGGGTACAGGGAGGACTCAGCAGGCACTAAGGGCTTGATGGGGCTTCTGCACACAGCAGGCTTTTGGGGCATGGCAGCAATTTGTTGGGCTCTTTGGAATAAGTGGCCACCAAGGATGATGAGCTGCCCACTGCCCTGGCCAAGGGCTGGCTTTGGAACCGGCTGCTGCTTTTTTCAGCTCCTGTCTTACTTTTGTTTGACCTTCTTCCCTAATTTAAGCCACATGCCCAGCCCTTGCCCAGCTGCACTGAATTAGTGGCTTCTGCTGGGGAGGGAACCAGACCTGGGGGGGGTGGGCTGTAGCTGCCTTGTGAGCAGCCACTGGTGATGCGATCCCCTAGCAGGATGGGTCCCCCAGGCTGGGATGGGTCCCCAGGGTCAGGAGGGCTCTGCATCTCCCAGCAGAGTTGGGTTTCCATGGGTGGGATGGGCTCTCCAGCAAGAGGGGTCTCTGGTGGGCTATGGGGGGACACCCATGGGGTCACAGCTCTGGTGAGACTGGGTCCAGAGCAGGGGCTGTCAGCAGGTCTGTGCTTGGGGGACTTTTGGTGGGTTTGAGGAGGCCATGCTGGTGACGGGTGATGCAGTTCTTGGTGTCTGTGCTGGGTTCAGGGGACAGTGGGGGCTGTGCTGGGGTGTCTGTGCCAGGTCGCAGCAAGGTCTGTGCAAAGGAAGCAGGTCTGAGGCTGTGCAGGAGCTGGTTTGGGGTTAGTGGGTCTGTGCTGGACTTGGGACCAAGTAGCAGTTATCAGGGTCCATATGGGGTTAATCCGTGCAGGGAGCCTGCTTCAGGGGACACTGTTCCCTCCAAGCAGGGTCACTTTGGGACACAGCTGCTTGAGCCAGGGAATGGCATCGCTGCCCTAGGACGAGTGGGACCAGTGCGGTGTCCAGAGCTGTTTGCCCCATCCCCTGCTGGGCTCTGGGTCCTCCCCTGGCTGCAGCACATGGACACCTTGGGGATGCAATTTCTTGTTTTCTCCCGGGGCTGGACCCATAACTGCAGCACTCACACATGAGAAAGGCAGTTGGAGCATGGCTGCAACTGGGGCAAACTGAGGGAGCGTTCCACTGGTGCAGGGGAAGCTGGGGAGTGGGACATGGGTGCCTTGGATGCTGTGGGCTGGCAGTGTCTGACCATTGCTGGAGTGGTGGCTCCAGCAGGCACAATGGCAGGTAGGGTTGCTGTGTCTGTCAGGATCAGATCGTAGAATCCCAGACTGGTTTGTGTTGGAAGGGACCTTAAAGCTCATTCAGTCACAACCCCCTGTCACAGGCAGGGACACCTTCCACTAGAGCAGCTTCCTCCAAGCCCCTGTGTCCAACCCGGCCTTGAGCACTGCCAGGGATGGGGCAGCCACAGCTTCTCTGGGCACCCTGTGCCAGCGCCTCAGCACCCTCACAGGGAAGAACTGCTGCCTAAGAGCTCATCTCAGTCTCCCCTCTGGCAGGTTAAAGCCATTCCCCTTAACCTGTCCCTATATGCCCTTATCCAAAGCCCCTCTCCAGTGACCACCCATCCCTCTGCCCCACAGGATGAGTTCCACCCCTTCATTGAGGCACTGCTCCCCCATGTCCGGGCCTTCGCCTACACATGGTTCAACCTGCAAGCCCGCAAGCGCAAGTACTTCAAGAAGCATGAGAAGAGGATGACGAAGGACGAGGAGAGGGCGGTGAAAGATGAGCTGCTGAGTGAGAAGCCAGAGGTGAAACAGAAATGGGCCTCGCGCCTTCTGGCCAAGCTGCGCAAGGACATCCGGCCCGAGTGCCGCGAGGATTTTGTGCTCTCCATCACCGGCAAGAAGCCCTCATGCTGCGTCCTCTCCAACCCTGACCAGAAGGGGAAGATGCGCCGCATCGACTGCCTGCGGCAGGCAGACAAGGTGTGGCGGCTGGACCTGGTCATGGTCATCCTCTTCAAAGGGATTCCACTGGAGAGCACCGACGGTGAGCGCCTGGTCAAGTCAGGCCAGTGCACCAACCCCATCCTCTGCGTCCAGCCCCACCACATTAGTGTCTCTGTCAAGGAGCTGGACCTCTACCTGGCTTACTTCGTCCGTGAGAGAGGTGGGTGCTCGTCTGCCTGTGGGTCAGAGCCAGGATGAGTCCCCATGGAGCCAGCCCCCAGGGGGAGGTTCATGTGCCAGGAAGGGGAGTGAGTGGCCCCCAAGGATGCTCCTGGCTCTGGGCATCCCCAGAGGGGGATCTGGGGGGGTTATCCCACATCCCACGCTGCCTGTGCCAGCAGCCCAGTAACAGCCTGTTCCTGGTGTGCCCAAGAGCTGGAGCTGGAAGCATCCAGCACTGCCAGGTTGCTGTGGGTTGTGGTAACAGTCCCTCACCCAGTGGGTGACCAAGGTGGGGACAGGAGCAATGATAACGCCAGCTGGGGCAAAACCCAGACACCAGCAGCTCCTGCTGTGCACCAAGGGATTGCTGCTCCCATGGCCTTCACCTGCCTGGGAGTCCCCTCAGATAGAGCCATGTGTGCCACCAGGATCTGCCTGCCCAGCCACACCTTCTGGCATGTGCTGGGCTGAACTGGGTTTGGGATCCATCCAGTTAAGCCCCAGGGCATAACTGAGATGCCATATGCTATGCTGAGGGCACCCCATATTGGCTGGGATGGGGTGCTGCACACTGGGCTGGCGTGGGGGCATCCTGGACTAGACTGGGCTGAAGTGGGAGCCCTGCCGTGGCTGTGCTGGCAGCAGGGATCAGGACCCCCATGGCAGCCACTCTGAGGTCCCCCACACTGCATTGGGATGCCATTGCCGATGGGTGTCCCCAGGGAGGTGGGTACTCCTCTGCCACCCCCTAGCAGCGACCTTGTCCCCAGCGCCTGCGGTCACCTGAGTTCTAGTTGGGAACATGGGGCTGTAAATACTCCGATAAGGTTCCTGCTGCCCTGTTAAGGTCGCTCCGGGTCCCGGTTAAGGGAGCCCAGGACCAGGCAGCAGCACCCATCCTGCTCCCATCCTGCTTTCTCCCCTTTGCACATCACACCCTGCAGCTTCCTCCCCCCCAAGCATCCTCAGGTCCAGGGGGGTGACAGGGGATGACTGAGGGGATGTGGGCCCCCCCGGCCGGGCCGCTCGAGCTCCCCACGCCCCCCCTGATGCGGCTGCACACGTGGTTTTGGGCCAGGCGCCTTCTGCTGAGGTCAGCACAAATTCCCTGCTGCTGCTTTGGCAGCGCCGGGGCGGGGGGAGCTCTCGTTCTGCTTCCCCCGCTCGTCTGGGGAAAGACCCACGGGGGAAAGTAAGAAATGAGGAGAGCCTGGTTGGGGAAAGGCTCCGGGGCGCTGAGTGCGGGATGGGTGCAGGCTGGAAGCAGGATGGTGCAGGCTGGGAGCAGGGTGGTACAGGCTGGGAGCAGGATAGTGCACGCTGGGAGCAGGATGGTGCAGGATGGTGCAGGTTGGAAGCAGGATGGTGCAGGCTGGGAGCAGGATGGTGCAGGTTGGAAGCAGAATGGTGCAGGCTGGGAGCAGGATGGTGCAGGATGATGCAGGATGGTGTAGGCTGGGAGCAGGATGGAGCAGGCCGGAAGCAGAATGGTGCAGACTGGGAGCAGGATGGTGCAGGATGGTGCAAGATGGGTGCAGGATGGGAGCAGGATGGAGCAGGATGGTGCGGGCTGGGAGCAGGATGATGCAAGCTAGGAGCAGGATGGTGCAGGACAGTGAAAGATGGGTGCAGGCTGGATTCAGGATGGTGCAGGCTGGGAGCAGGATGGTACAGGCTCGCAGGATGATGCAGCATAGTGCAAGATGGGTGCAGGATAGGTGCAGACATTGTGGGGCTGGGTGCAGGATGGGAGCAGAATGGGTGCAGACGGTGCGGGGCTGGGGCTGGGTGCAGGATAGGTGCAGGCTGGTGCGGGGCCAGTGCGGGGCTGGGCTGTGCACACCGCAGTGGGGGCGGGGCAGGCGCTGCAGTGGGGGGTTGCGGGGGGAGCTCGGAGGTCGCTGGTGAAAGTCACTGCAGTAACCGGGGATCGATGGAGTCGCTCCATGTGCCGGGACCTCGGGAGCAGCACATCCCTCCCAGCGAGCAGAGCCAAGCTGGGGGTCCAGTGCCCCCCTCCCTGCAGCCTTGTGCGCCTATCCCGGCACCCCATCCCTAAACCCTCATCCCTGCATCCCACAGCCCTGCATCTCCAGCCCTGCATCTCCATCCTTGCATCCTGATGCTGATCCAGCTGGGGGGCAGCAGGAGCTGTAAAGAGGCTGGCTGGCTCAGTGTTGTCCCCTCACACTCTTTGGGGTGCTCTAGAGCTGGCAGGGACCCTGCAGCTGATGGGGGTTTGGGGACAAGGCTCTGCCCTGAAGTGAGCTCCCCCTGGTAGTGCCTGGAGTGGGAGCAGATGGGTACTAGGGGTGAGCAGGCAGCAGGTCCCAGGGTGGCATCGCTGCTGGCCCTGACGCTGCGTGGATGGCACCAGGGGAGGCAGGGACCTCCACCATGCTGCCAGCATCTTCATCCCCCTGCCTTGGCAGCCCCTTATCTCCCCTCACCAGCCTTGCTGAGGCAGATGGCACCAATCTGCCGGGAAGCCTGTGCCAGGGCTTTGGGTGCGGACGTGCCAAGCGTCTGCGTGGTCCCTCCAGATGGAAGGGCAGGAATTCCCTCCGGCAGCACTGTTCTGCCAGCCCCCCAAGACAGTATTTATGGGCAAGAGCGCAAAGAGATTGATGGGGTGCACGGTATTTGGTTGGAAGGGACCTTAAAGATCATTCAAGTCACAAGCCCTTGCTATGGGCAGGGACACCTTCCACTAGAGCAGCTTGCTCCAAGCCCGTTTCCAACCCAGCCTTGAACACTGCCAGGGATGGGGCAACCACAGCTTCTCTGGGCACCCTGTGCCAGTGTCTCAGCACCCTCACAGGGAAGAGCTTCTGCCTAAGAGCTCATCTCAGTCTCCCCTCTGGCAGGTTAAAGCCATTTCCCTTGGCCTGTCCCTAAAGGTCCTTGTCCAAAGCCCCTCTCCAGGTTTCTTGTATATTTCCACTCTACAGGCAGGGCCCAAAAGCAATACACACAAGGTTATCCACAGGGAATCCACAGGGGCTGCATCCCTGCCCTTGAGAGGTGGGCTGGAAAGGGGCTCACCAGGGTGCTGTGACCACAGGCATCCCCATCCCCTGCAGCATCTCTTGTGTCCCGGAGGTGGCTGCAACTGGGCTGGTTTTGGCACACTGTAGCTCTGTGGATGGTGTGTCGGTGACCTTGGGGAGGTCAGGGCTTCCCCGGCTCTCCCGCAGTGCACTGAGCCGGCAGTGTGCCGGAGCCGTGCCAGAGCCAGGCAGCTTTCCCGCAGTGCCACCAGTGAAGCGAGTTCTTCATGTCTTAGCCCTGTGGCCCCAGCCAGGGTGCCACGTCCACAGTGCTAGGGCTGGGGGGCAAAGCAGTCCCTGGACCCAGTGGATAAAACACAAGGGAGCTCCATTGTGCCAGCACCCGCCATTCCCCCCCCCCCCCCCCCCCCAGGGTGCCTGCCCATGGCCACAGTTGCTGTCCTGGCCGGGCACCCAGCTCCTGCCATGCTGGCAGGGGACAGCTGGGGTGGCAGATGCCACTGCGGGACCTGTGCTGCCAAACCCTCCTGGCAGGACAGTGTGCCCCCAAGCTGGCTTGGGAGATTGGGGTCCCTCAACCTGCTCTTCCCCTCAGGCTTGTGCAGCCTCAGAGCTTGGCCATGGGGAGGGAGATTCCCACCATGTGCTGGGGAGGGATACCTGCGGTCAGTAGGGGCAGAGAGGGGAGTCTGTGGGACTCTGCGGGGGGGCTGGCTGTGCTATGGGGCAGTGGCATTGGACTGTGCAGTGCTGCAGGACTATGCCATGACACAGGGCTGCGTCGTGGGGCTGTGCCGTGGAGCCATGTAATGGAATGCTGTAGGACCCTGCCATGCCATGGGGCTGTGCTGTGCCATGTGGCAGGGCAGGGACAGTGGTTCCAGCCGCACAGGGCCAGGCCTGGAACCCTCTGACTGCACCTGAAGAGCTGGGGTGTCCCCCGCATCACTTCTTCCTCCTGCCCCCTGCCTTACTCCTGCCTTACCTTCCATTTCCTTCCCTCCCTCCCTGTCAGCTCTTTCTCTCTTTCCTTGGTTTAATTTTCTTCTTTCTTTTGTTCTTTTTCCTTCTTTCTCTTCCTCATTTCTTCTCTTTTTATCCTTTTCCCTTTCCCTTTCTCTCCGCTTTCATTTCTTCCTCCCTTTCTAGTTACCCTCCTCACCCTTCCCTCCCTCCCTCCCTTTCTCTCCGCTTTCATTTCTTCCTCCCTTTCTAGTTACCCTCCTCACCCTTCCCTCCCTCCCTCCCTTTCTCTCCCTCTTTCCTGTCCCTCATCCCCTCCTGCATCTGCACCCTAGGTCCCTCCTCTCCATGGCAGAGGCACAAAGTGCCAGCACCCCAGAGGGGATGTCTCACAGAGGATGTGGGGGTCTCAGCCATCCCTTTATCCGCTGCCATCTGTGCTCTGCAGGCGCTGGTAGCCCTGGATGAGGCCCAGGCCTGGCAGGGCTGAGAGAGGGGGTGACCAGGCCCCGTGTGTCCGTCCGTCCCCGTCCCCCCCGGCCACTGCTGCAGGGTCAGCCAAGGACAAATGCTCTGGCTCAGCCTCCCGGGCCGGCTGCAGGCTGGGACGTGGCAGCGGGTGCATGGTGTGACCCCCCCGCCACCCTGGGGGACATCTGCAGCCAGGACCTTCCCGGGGCTCAGTGTGGGAAGGAGGAGCTGGCTGAAAGTGGGCTGAGACCCAGCAAACTCTTCTCAGGCCCATAGCACTGCTGATGTCTGGGGAAGGAGGAGGGGTGGAAGGGGAAGTGGAGGTTGTAGGGAGCATGGCAGAGGGGTCTGGTGCTCCCGGCGTGCTGGCTGAGCTGGGATTTAGCTGGAACACAGAGTGTTTCTCTGGGGATTATCTAAAGGAGGTTACACAAGCGGTGCTGGTGCGGGTTTTACGTAAGGGCCATGGGGCCACTGTGGGGTGGGGGCTGCTGGGGGTCTTGTAGGGAGAGACTGCGAATCACAGACACACACCCTCCCCCTCCCTGCAGCTGCTGCCACGCAGCACTCGGGCTCCCTCAGGTCTCCAAGCATCTCCAGTCCTTGACCAGGACTGGAGACACTCGGAGACCAGGAGCAGGAGCATCATTCTGGGCCCTACTGATGCTCCCTGTAGGGAAGGACCAGGCAGAGGCATGGAGGGGGGGAGCTGTCCTGGGTTAACACCACCACAGGGTTCCACCCTAGCCCCAGGGATAACTGAGGCAGTGGGGCCCAGCCCTCTCCTATCTCCTGGCCCGTCGCTAACAGAGCTGGAGGAGGAAACCTGCTGCCCTCCCTCGGGTGGAGGGGGGTTCCCACCAGCCTCCAGTACCCTCCAGCTGCTGCACGTGCACCCTACAGCAGTCCCTGTGCCCATCAGTGCTGTGGCACAGAGCCAGGGCTCTTCAGCAGCCCTGGGGGCACCCAGCCTGCATTGAACCCCCAGATCCTGCCCAGGAGCTGTTCCCATGTGCTGAGGCCCCAGGGAGAGTCTCTGTGGGGCTGGTGGCACCATGCCAGGATCCATAATTCAATGGGTGGCATTGGTCCAGGGGCTGAGAATACGGACAGCCCTAACCCTGCCTCAGGATACAGACTTTGCTCTTTCCAGCAGAGATGGGATCGACCTGTTTGGGCCCCTCCATGCACTAAACCCCACAGTCTCATATCAGTCTCATCATCCCCCAGCCCATCATTTGGGCATGCAGAGAGTACGAGGTTGTCCCCCACCCATGAGGCTGGGGGGCTCCCAGCCTTCTTTCACCCTCCCAATGCAACTGAAGCACTTGCTGGGTGGTGGATTTGGGGTGTCTCCCCAAAAAACACATCCTGTGGAGATGGGAGGAAGGAGGCCGCCATTTTAGAGTGGGCCAGCAGGCCCCAGGCAGCCCTCACATGGCGGCAAGAGCAGAGTTTGGAGGAGGCAGCCAGAAATGTGCTGGCAAGATCACCCAGCCCCACCACGGGGGGTCTTGAGGCCACAGCCCCTATCCTGGCACCCACAGCCCTCCATCTGCAGGGACATGAGGGGTGCCAGGAGGGGACAGCCCTGCTGGCAGACCTCAGAGGTACTGAGAGCCCCCAGGTGCTCCTGGGCTGCCACGGCTGGAATCAGGGGTGTCGGCTTGGGGGATGCTCCCTTGGGATCAGGGTCAGGGGATGATGCTGGTGGAAGGCTGTGGGGGACACCCAGAGGGGTACCCAGGGCAAGCGAGTGGCCCTGTTGGGTGCCTGGGGGCTACAGAGGACACGCTGGGGTGGCTCTGGGGGGAGAAAAAGGCTGTGCCGACCATCATGGGAGAGCATAGGTCCATGTGGGGCAACTGGGGGTGAGGAAAGGTCTGTGTGGAGCATCATGGGGTAAGCAGGGGCCATGTGGGGTATGTGGGGGAGAACAAAGGTCCATGTGGGGCATTTGGGGCAAGCAGGGTCCATCCCAGCTCAAGCAGTCATGGGAGGTCCCATGGGCCATGTGGAGGCCACCAGCTTTGGTGGGATTCTAACGCTCAATCCCCCCTCGGGGAGGGACTGGGGCACCCCGAGGCAGTGTCGGGGAGGTCACGGGGCTGCAGCCGCCGCCCCGCGCCTTGGCCCGGCTCCATCGCTAACGGCTTCCAGAGCCGCCGCGACGGTTGTTGTTGTAAGAGGCGAGGAGGGGCCATGTCCGGCCGCGTGGTGCCCATGAGTGCGGGGGGGGGGGGCTGGCCACCCCAAGCCTGTGCCCCCCATACACTTGGGTGTGCATTGGCCTTCAGAACAAGGGGGCGGAAGGAAAATGGAGAGAAGGAATTGGGAGGAAACCCCTCCCGATGCACTGCCGCGGAAATCGCTGCTCCCTAAAATGGCTGCCCTGGGGAAGCTGCAGGCGTAGGCAATGGCGTTCACAGGGCTGGCTGGCACTGGGCCGTGGCGCTAGTGTGGTATGGCTGCCAGTGGGGAAGGGGCTGCCAGGCTGGCATGGGCAGCAGTGGTGGAGAAACCTCGGGAACCAGGGAGGGAGACAAAATGGCAGCACTTGGCATTGGTGTCCAGCAGCCCCCGGGATGTGGGGTGGGAGTGCAGTGTGTGTGTGTGTGAGGGGCTGGGGGGTATGGGGTGAGAGAGGCAGGGAAAACCGGGGAAGAAAAGGGCAAACTGGGCAAAGGCCAGCCAAGGCGCAGCAGGAGGGCTGGCAGCTGCGGCCACGCTGTTTTGGTGGTGTCGTGGCTCTTTCCCGGCATCAGCCAAAGCTGGGGAAGAGGAAAGCTGGAGGCCAGTGGGTGGGAGGAGGAGGAGGAGGATGGGGAGGCAGGATGCAGGATGAGGAGAGGGGGAAATGTGTGGCAGAAAGTTATGAAAGGGATCTGGGGGCTGGTGGGTGCCCTGCCCTGTGAAGGAAGGATGCTCACAGTAAGGCACAGGGAACCAGAGGGCCCATTGGCCATGCGGTGCTGCACCGTGCTATGCTGTGTCATGCCGGGGTGTGCGTCTGAGAGAGGTTTTTTATATCTAAAGCTAAAATGGTGTTGAAGGAGTAGGAACAGGCACTGCCCTACGTCCCACTGCCCTCTGAAGGGCTTGGAGGAGGCAGAACGAGGTGCTGTGCAGTGACAGAAGCGATGCCTGGCAGTGGCAGCACTGCCAGAGCTGGGTGGCAGCAGCAGGAGGGAGTAGGAGAGGCAGGAGCAAGGCCCGGCAGCTGTGACTGCCTCAGGGCAGGACAAGGGCTGTGGGTTCCCCTCACATGGCAGCACAAGGGTGTCCCTGTTCCTGTCCCTGTTCCTGCCCATAACGAGGGATGCCTATGGTGGCTCTTCCTGATGGCTGGGGACGTGCCAACTTGGCCCTGGAACTTCTGCCAGACCGTGCCTCAGTTTTCCCAAGCCACAGATTAGTGAGGGGGGCTGCCGCGTCAGGGAACCAGTGTGTACCCCAAGTTTGCACTGGTGCCTCATCCTGGTGGTATTTTTCCCTCTTGCAGATGCAGAGCAGAGCAGCAGCCCCCGGACAGGCATTGGCTCGGACCAGGAGGACAGCAAACCCATCACGCTGGGTGAGAGCAGAGTTCAAGGGGCAGCATTACAGTGGCTTTGGGGATGTTGGGGTGCTCTCAAGCTTTACCACAAGACAGTGTGGAGCAGGAGGGGTGCTTCCGTCCCATCTGGCCTCCCATCCACAGCGCTCCCTTCTCTCTTCCTGCACAGATTCCACAGACTTCCAGGAAAGCTTTGTTACCTCGGGGGTGTTCAGTGTCACCGAGCTCATCCAGGTGTCCCGAAGTGAGTGCCACCATCATGCCACCAACGCCCCCCAAGCTGCCTGGGACTGGAAGCATCCCAGCTGTTCCCCATCCCAGATATGGGCTGACCCCCCTCCCCCAATCCCCTGATCCCTCTCTCTCCCTGCAGCACCGGTGGTGACAGGCACGGGTCCAAACTTCTCTCTTGGGGAGCTCCAGGGCCACCTGGCCTATGACCTGAATCCCTCCAGCACTGGCATGCGGAGGACACTGCCTAGCACCTCTTCCAGCGGGTACGTGATCCTGGGACCATGCTGGCATGGTACTGGGTGATGCTGGGGCAATGATGGGGTGATTCTGGGGGTGATGTCAGGGTGAACCCGAGCCTGGCCATGGGCCACTGACCATCTCACTGTGGTGGAGGCACAGGACAGGTTGTGTCCTGCCGCAGGCTGGAGCTGATTCCTCCCCTACCCACCCAGGAGCAAACGGCACAAGTCGGGGTCCATGGAGGACGACATCGACACCAGCCCGGGGGGCGAGTACTACACCTCCTCCAATTCCCCCACCAGCAGCAGCCGCAACTGGACAGAAGACATGGAAGGGGGTAAGTGCTTCCTTACAGGTGCCTCCCTATAGATGCCCCTCTACTGCTACAGGGCCCCCCAGCCAGGTCACTACTGTCTGTCCTCCCCTTTGAGAGCCTGGGGTTGCTTTAGGATGCTCAGGTCAAAGCATGAGCTGGCTGGAGGGGCCGTGAGGTTGCTGTAGACCCCCCCACCAAGACACAGGCTCTCTGTAGGGTCAGCCCAGTGCCCCAGCCCCACACCAGCCTCTCCCAGCCCCACAGCGGATGCTTCTGCTGCGGGCAGCAGCTCTGTTGCTTTCTTGGCATTTTTTCTGTTGGTTTTTTTCTTCCCTTTCCTGTCTAGACAGCCCCAATTAGCTGTTCATTAAGAAAAGGGGGGGGGGGGGGGTGGTGGGCTAATTAAAGCGATGCTGCGGGGCTGGCAAGGCAGCTCCCACACCCCGGGGTGCCTTTGCAGGCCAGGGACTGCTCATCTTCCCCCCTCTTCAGCTCTTATCCTGCTTCCCTGCACCCCAAACAGTGGGGCAGAATCCATCCATCCCCCCCTGCCCCCCAGTGCTGGCAGAGCCTGGAGGGTGTCTGGCTTTGAGGGACTGGAGGCAATTTGGGGAAAGCGAGTCCTGCCCCAGGAGGGTGCCCCATAGGTGCTGGGGATAGTGACCCATCCTCTACCACCACTGTGCCCATGGGCCTGGTGGGTCCTCAGAGAAATGTCACGCCCTGCCCAAAGCATTGCCTGTGGGTATGCATGGCAGGTTGGACTATGCAGGGGTGTTCCTGTCCCCTGTTGGTGGCCTGATCCGGGGCAGGAGGGAAGTGGGCAGCAATCCCATATGGGATGTTCCAGGAAATCCTCCTAAACACCAGCTGAGAAGACGCTAAACCCATTACCAGGCCTTGGCCAAATGGCCAGAGCTAAAGCCATGGTGATGGGGGAGGGTGGGAGGCACCACTGACCCCTCCCTCTCTGCCCCAGCTTCCGGCACTGCCAGAACCCCAGCCCCAGGGGTCCAGTGGTGCACCCATGGGAGCCCCCAGTTTTGGACCCTGGGTAGGCACCCACACATGCAAACACATGTGTGCACACAAGCATAGAGGTACACAAATGCCTGAGTGAACACGTGCCTGCACATGCTACATGTGTTTATGTGCACACCTGTGGTAGGCCCATAGAGCTGCCCACATCCAAGTACACCCTCACTCTTGTGCATACACGTGCACTCGTGCCGAGCCTGTCCTCAGGGACCCCCTAACCCCAGGATCGAGCTGGGTGCTGGGCTCTGACACTGCACCCTGCTTTGCCTCAGGCATCTCCCCCACTGTGAAGAAGACAGAGATGGACAAGTCCCCCTTCAACAGCCCGTCACCCCAGGACTCCTCGCCCCGTCTGAGCAGCTTCACGCAGCACCACCGTCCCGTCATCGCAGTGCACAGCGGTGAGTGTCCTAGCAGGGAAACCAAGGCATGGAGCCAGTGGGTGAGCAGTGTGGGGCTGGGCCAGTAGCTGGCTTCTGGTGACACTGGGGTGTCCCCCTCTTCCCGTTGTTGCCTGCAGGTATCACTCGAAGCCCACACCCATCATCTGCACTGCATTTCCCCACCACCTCCATCCTCCCACAAACGGCCTCCACCTACTTCCCCCACACGGCCATTAGGTACCCGCCTCATCTCAACCCACAGGACCCACTGAAAGATCTCGTCTCACTGGCCTGTGACCCGTCCAACCAGCAGCCCGGACCGGTAAGGATGCCGCCCCATCCTTGCATCCCATCACTGAGCTCGCGGTGGGGCACTGGGGTCTGTTGCATCCCCTTGACTGGGGTGATGTGTGAATGCCCCATCTCTGGTAGTGTTCAATAGTGTTCAATGCCAGGTTGGACAGGGCGTGGAGCAGCCTGCTCTAGCGGAAGGTGTCCCTACGTGGGGGGGGGGGGGGGGGGGGCTGGATCTGGTTGAGCTTTAAGGTCCGTTCCAACACAAACCATTCCATGATTTTATGATTGTCTGCCACTGTTGCCGTCACCACCACCACAGTTGGGGGTCAGGGCACTCTGGTGGCACTTCGGTGCCAGGACCCAGCCTGGTAGGGTGTTGGACAGGGCTGGGCAGCCATGCATTGGTTTGGGAGCGCGACTGCAGCTGGTCGGTGTTAATAGCTTGGTTCTCTGGTGATGGAGCAGAGACAGGGCAGTGAGTGCTGGGGCTGAGCCATTGGCTGGGTCTGGGGTTGTCTGTGGGAGCAGGGGACGTGACCATTGCCAAAGAGCCACCGTCCGCCATCATGCCAGGAGACTGATGCGCTCTGTGTGCCCCGGTTCTGGCTGGTGACCCATCAGCCCTGTCCCCACTGTGCCATGTCCCCATCGGGTGGCAGGGCCACACTGAGCTGTTGTGTGCTGTCCCTCATCCCAGTACCCCGCACACCCAGCACTCAGCACATCCAGCACCCCATGCACCCCCCATGCCACATATCCAGCACCCCCAGAAAGCACAAAGTGCACTCAGCAGCCAGTGCCTGCAGCACCCAGTGCACCTAGCACCCCCCACACCCAGCACCCAGCAGATGCACTACCCTACACACCTAGTACCCAGTGCCCCCAACATGCCATGCACCCATCACCTCATGCACCCTGCACCCCGCACACCCACCCTGTGCTCCCTTTGTGCCTGCAGCCAGGGCCTAGGAGTGGCTACATCCCCATGCCCTGCCCTCCTGTGCCCCATTCTGCCCCACAGCCGCAGACAGTCTGGGGGAGCTTGTCTGAGCTCTGCCCAGCACCCGGTGAGACCTGATGATGGGGTGAGGGGCATGTCTGACCTTCTCCCCATGCAGCAGGTCAGTGCCGGGGCTAGCAGAGACTGGGTCAGGAACAGGGGGGGAGCTGGTACAGGAGCCTTCGATGCCACTACAGGGTGCCCCATTATCTCACAGCACCCTGCCTCTGGCATGCGCCGCTATGGGGTGGGGGACGTGCCCCCCCCCCCCCCCCAAAGCCCACCTTGACCCCCCTGCTTCTCACCCCTTCATGATTCCCCAGTGGCTGGCGCCGACTGTTCAGGGCTGCTCTGAGACCCATCAAACTTGTGCCAGCAGTGAGGGATGCTCTGTGCGGGTGCCAACCGGCACCAGGCGCTCCCAGGCCGGCTTTTGCTGGTGCTGCCCATGCTTCCTAATGGCTTGTGCTGTTTGTTTTTCTGTCTGTGTTGTGTCCCCAGTTAAATGGAAGTGGTCAAGTGAAAGTGCCCAGCCACTACTTGCCCCCGCAGATGCTGGCGCCACCACCTCCCCCTGGCATGCCCCGCTTGGCCGTCTCTCCTGACACCAAACCCACTACGACAACTACCGAGGGAGGGACGACCTCGCCGACATCACCCAGTAAGCACCCCGCGGCGCCCACCCCTCTCCCCGGCCCGGCTGGCCCCCTCCTCTTGCAGCCCCCCCAAAGCGTCTTCCCCCCTTGTCCCCGGTGCTGCTGGGGGGGACGTTGGCGGAGGTGGGCTCCCCGCAGCCGGTGAGAGGGCGGCAGCTGGCACGCCATGAGTTTGCTGGGTCTCAGGCAGGTCGGAGCAGGCAGGGTTTGGGCAGGAGGCTCTTGTGTGTCCCCACCAAGCTGGGGGTGGGGGGGCGCCCTGCACTGGTCCCAGGGACCGGATGGAGCCCCGTGTCATTCCGAGCCGACGCCTTGCCCAAACCCCCCCCCCCCCCCCCCCCGCCCCCGATACAGGAAGGGCTTGCCAAGGGACGCAGTTGCCTCTCCGTGCCTCAGAACGCGGTGGTGCTGCTGGTGAGGCAGGGGCCGGCTGAATGGCTGCGGTGGTGGAAGGGTGCCGGGCTGTGTGTGCTGCGTGGGGCTGCCGTCCTCACTCTGCCACCAGGGTCCCCAGCATGGGGTCCCTCATTTGATCAGGGGCTGTGAAGCAACTTGGGTGCAGGGCACCTGAAGATCCCCTGGGGGACCCTTCATTAGCAGTGGTTGCTGACAAGCTCATCCTTTAGATGGCCTCAGTGCCTTGGCCAGGAGGAGTTTGGGGTCACAAAGGGGAGACGCTGGTGTCACCCCCAGCCTGGCATCAGGGCGTGTGCTGTAGTGGTGGGACACTGCTACCATCACCATGGTGTGCCATCACCATGATCGACGAGAACATCCCTGTCCCCATCCTGCTGTATCCATGGGACTCCTGGTACCCAGAGAGGCTGCCACGTCCCTGGAGACAGGCCACAGCTGGATGCCATTGGTATGGAGGTCACATGGCATGACGTGGAGGGGAGAGCTGTGGGGTGGTGTGGCCCAGCCAGTGATGGGACCATGTCCGCAGGGAGGGACTGGGCAGTGCCAGTCTCCCCTTGGTTCAGGGAAGGTTGCACACTGCGTGTCCCCAAGGAGCCCCGGGGCCGGCTGGTTCTGAGCGCCCCCCCCCTCCTGATGGGTCTCAGGAGCTCAGCAGGGCTGGGGGTCCCACTGCTGGACCCCTACCTAGCTGGGGGTGGAGGTCTTAATGGGGCGATGTGGCTGAGTGGAGCTGGTGGCTCCTGTTGCGCTTGCCCCACAGCACTGCACTGGCACCCCAAGGGTGCCCCCAGCCAGTCATCACCACAAAGCCACCCCTCCAGAGGGCACAGGCACAGAAGGCACAGCATCCCTCACCTCCATGTGCTGCCAGAACACCACCAGGGACACTGCCCTGCTGCTAGCTCCATGTGCCTGGGACGCCTGTCCCAGCAGTGCCAGGCAGCAGTGGGACAATGGCGATGCCACCGGCAGCCCCGTTAATGAGCTCTCGTTTGTTCCCCAGCCTACTCTGCACCAGGCACGCCCCCTGCGAACCGTTCCTTCGTGGGATTAGGACCAAGGGATCCTGGGAGTATCTATCAGGCACAGGTGAGAGCTGGGATGCTGCTGGGGGGACCCTCCTGCCTTCACCCTGGGCACTGCCGTCATAGCATCACTGTTGTGGGCATCACTGTTGTGGGCACAGCCGTTGCGGGCGTCACCACCGTGGGTGTCTCCACTATGGCATTGCTGCAGTGGTGGCCATCGCTGCTGTGGGCATTGCTGCCATGGACATCACCAGCATGGCATTGCCACTGTGGGCACTGCTGCTTTGGGCATTGCTGGCTTGACATCGCTGCTGTGGGTGTCCCCATTATGGGTATTTCCATTATGGGCATTGTCACCATGGGTATCCCCACCATGGGTATTGCCACCATGGCATCCCCACCTTGGGACTGCCACCATGGGAATCCCCAGCCAAGCCAAGCCAAGGCCACAGGTGCTCCTGGTGACTTGTGGCCACCAAATGTCCCTCATGGCAGCAGGAGGTCCCTGCCATGCTCACAGCTAGCACCATGCACAGCATCCCTGCATGAGGGGCACTGGGGCTGTGTGTCCCTTCCCCAGGCAGACACAGACACCCTGACCTTCCCACTCCAGCCATGGTGGGATGTGGCACGCGCCTTTCCCAGGAATCTTCACTGGTGCTGGGTGTGTTGAACCAGCCGTGGGTGAGGCACCGTGGGCAGTGCCATGGGCCAGCGCTAGCACCTTGTGCCTCACTTGTGCTACAAGTTGCACAACCTCAGTGGTCTCCTCAGGGGCAGTGTCGGGATGCAGTAGGATGGAGTACAGATGGCGCCATGGCGGGAGTGAGAAGCTGGGGGACTGAGCTGGTCCATGGGGTACCCAAGGGTGCTGTGCTGTGACACAATGCTCAGGGCCCATGAGCTAGGGCACCCCAGGCATGGTGTGCAGTTGCTGGTGGCAAACACTGGGGTCTGGCTCTGACCAGAGTGCCCTGCCTCAGTTTCTCCAAAGGACAGAGTGGGGTGGGCACCCTGAGGCTTTTGCATCCCTAAAGAGGAGACACGGGGTGCTAGGGTCCATGCACCCCAAATCCTGTGAGGGTCACTGTCCCTGTCACTGTGCATGTGTGTTTGGATGCACTCCAGGAGCTTCCCCAGGGCGGAAGGATGCTCTGCCTTGGGAAACTGAGGCACAGTGGGGACAAAATGAGTGTCCCATGCTCCCGGGAGTGGTGGCTGAGACAGGCTGCTCTCTGGTCATGTGTGGTGGGGCTGGGAAGGGTTAAGGGAAGCAACGGCTCCGAGCTGTCTCGTTGCCAACGGAAACCAGACATGAGGTAATCGGGAATGAACTTGAACTTGGGGCTGGAGATGGGGGGGAGAGACAACGGGAGGGTGGTAGGGGCCACCCCGCGGGGTCCCCAGTTCTGCCACCCCTCTGCTTGTCCCCAAGCAGGACACTTTCTCTGCAGAGCATCGCCTTGGCCACTGAGGAGGATGGGGGGGCACTGAGTGAACTCGGTGCAGGAGTGGGGCAGTGAGGGTAGCATGGGGACAGCGTGGGGACACAGGGTAACGCCAGGCTTTCTCCTCTCTCCCGGCAGTCCTGGTACCTGGGATAACCGCCGCCGTGCCGCCCCTTCGCCTCCCTTCTCTGCTTTAGGCACCCCCAGAGGAACATCCCTGAGCACCAGGCCCAGCCTTGTGGTGACGATGGAGAGCGTGGACTCACGATGACGACGACGACAACGACGACGACAAGCAAAACCCACACCCGAAGGAAAGAGCGAGGGAAAGGAAGAAGGAAAAGGGTCAAACTTCTTCAAAACAAAAAAACCCACACAAACAACACCCCCCCCCAACCCAGGAGGATCCCACACCCCCCTCCCCCCAGGAGAACAAAGAAACACACACACACAAAAGAGAGAAAAAAACACTATTATTTGCCCCCGTTGGACAGCGCTACGCTGAGACCTGACACAACTCGTGCCAGCAATGCTCCTGCAGCGCCTGACCCCCAGCGGCTGCCGACTCCCTCGGTCCTGCCTCCATGTGAGTAGAAAAGATCAAACCCCCTTTGGGCGTCCCCCCACCCGGCCACACACAGACTGTCAGGGGAGCCCGGGATGTGACACGGTGACATGGTGCTGCAGTGGCCGGGGCTTGGCTTGTCATGACTTTCACAGGAGGAAGGGGGCTGGGGGTTCCCGTCCCCCCCTACCGTGTCCCCGTGTCCCCCACACGTGTCCCCACCCCGGGGGTTGGGCGGGGGGAGCTGTGATGAGGGGACACTCCGTGTGTCTGAGCTATGCATTCCTGTGGACAGGTACGGGGGGGGGGGGGGGGGGGGGGGGCGATTGTGTTGCACATTTGTAGGAAATGCACTTTGAAGAGGGATTGGTAAAAAAAAAAAAAAAGAGAGAAAGAAAAAGAAGAAAAGAAAATATTACAAAAAAGGAGGAAAAGGAAGAGGAGGAGGAGGACGAAGAGGAGGAAGAAACAGAGCCCCTGGCCTGGCCTCTGGCTGCTTTGGGGTTTTTTGGGATTTTTTCTTTTTTTTAACGCCAAGGGCAGAGCCCCCCCGCACCCCCCAAAGCACCCCCCACCCCCCAAACCCCCCTGCACCCCAAAGCCCCCTCTGCACCCACCACCCTGCGCCAGGTGCCTGAACTGCTGCGGTGGAAGGGACACAGACCCGGAGAACCCCCTTAAGGATCCCCCCCACTGGGGCGGGGAAGCGCTGGAGGAAGTCCCCATCCCGCGCAGGAGAGGAAGAAGATGAGGAAGACCCCCGGTGTCCCCCCGGAGCAGACTGGTGTTTCCCCCCGGCGCCGCAGGGGACAGCTCACGGGGGTGATGGAGAGAAGCCACTGTGGGATGTGCGGGATGGCAGCGAGGGCACCGCCAAACCCTCCCCCGCCTCCCGCGGGAAGGAAAAGAGCTGGATGGAGGAAATCCCTGGAGAGGAGAAGACATCCAACACGAGAAGAAAAAGAAAACAGCAAAAGAAGCACTTGGCGGCAACGGAGCCCTCTTTCGTTTGGGGTTATTTTTTATAGACCTGAGAAAAGCATTAAAAAAAAAAAAAAAACCCAAGGGAAAAAAAAAACAGCGAAAAAGAGGAGGAAAAAAAAAAAGAAAAAAAAAAAAACGGACAAAACCCCCTGTTTATAAGTGCATGGTGCTTTACCAGGACCTGGCGACCCGGCTCGGCCCCGCCGTGCCGGCGATGCTGTGCATGGCAGAGTGTAACCGGCTCGACCTTCCCCTCAGCAACAGAGAAAAAGAGGAAAAAAAAAAAAAAAACACAAACAAACAAAAAAATCTGTATAAAAGAAAAAAAAAAAAAAGGGGGCGAAAACCCGAAAAAAAAGCAAGAAAAAAAAAAAAAACAACAAATCCATGTTTTCCTAATTTGCACGAAGTTTTCTACCACAAGATGTGCCTTTGCCTTCGGAGCCTCAGTATTACCGGGCCCGGTGCCGGGGAGCGGGAGCCACTGCATGCCCGGGGCCCCCCCCCCGCCTCCTGCATGGCTTCTTGGCCGGAAAAATCCCCTTTTTCTCTCTTTTACTATTATTATTATTATTATTATATTGTTATTAATTTTTTTAACCCATTTTCCTCCCCTTTGGAAACGTCTTCCAGTTGATGCACCCTCTGCGCCAACACACCAGAATATGCAATTGCCGCCCCCCCCCCCCCCCCCCCCGCTTTGCCTCTTTTTGAGGGGGGTTCCTTCCCTTTTGGGGGGGGGTCTTTTGGTTTTTGGATTCCAGCAACCAAAGGCAGCAAGGTGGGAGGCAGCGCCCCCCTACCCCTCCCAGGCCTGGACCCTGCCAGTGCTCTGGGTCTGGACATGGCAAGGTGGATAAGGGTGCAGTTGGGGTCCCTCATGGCTGAGCCCTCGTGAGGTGGGGGGGCAGCATCCTGACCTCCCCCTTTTGAACTGGTTTTTAATGGGGTGCAGGGCCAAGAGGGCTGAGCCCAGCAGCTCTTGTGACAGGAATGGAACCGTGTGAATGTAGCTGTGCCCCTCCCCTCCCCCCCAAATAAAGGGCTGGTGGTGGGGGAGGGTCACAGGTCATAGGCCCCCCTATCTATCTCCATTGGCCTCATCTTGGGGGGTCAGGAGGGAACGGGCCAAGAGGTCTCCTCTTGCCTGTGCAAAACCACAGAGCGGGGGCTTGACACCCCCAAAAAATCCAGATTTTGCCTTAAAACCCACCGTCCCGCCGGCCGGAGAGACACTCCCCTTCCCCCAGCCCTGCTGAGGCTGAGGCCTGACGCGGGTTGTGACACCGATGGGTGGGCGGCACCGCGCGGCGGCGCTGCTTCGTGATGAAGAAACGTGAACATTTTGGGGCTTTTTTTTACATTTTTGATAGTTTGGTGTTTTTTTTGTGTATGTGTGTGTCCAAAAGTGTTAGCGGGGGACGAAGGGGGAAAAGTAGGGGGGGTCTTCCAGCCACCGGTGTGGTTTGTTGGGGGTCCCACCAATGGGGACGTCCGTGGGAGACACTTTCTGATGCAAGGTGCAGTGTTGATGTCTGCAGGGACAATGTAAGGCGGTGGGGGGGGATCAGCGCCCAGCGGGGAGAGAGATGTTGAAATGATGGAATTTAGGGGAAAGTAAAAAAGAAAAACCAAACAAAAAAAAAAGGGGGGGGGGGAAGGAAAAAAAGAAGACAAAAGGAGGGTTTTAAGGCTCGAAAAAGGATCAGAAAATACAAAAATTAGTGGTTTTTTGCAGGGGTGACAGGAGGGAGGGAGAAACTCCCCCAGGGCAGCCCCCCCGGCATGTGCGGGCCCTGGGGAGGAGGTGAGGAGCGCTGGCGCCCCTCGGGTCTGCCTTTCCCCCCCCCCCGGAAGCCCCTGGCTCTCCCCTTTTGCTGCCTTTGCCCCGGGCCAGCCCAGCGGCTGCGGCCCCCCAGAACCCTCCCTCGGCAAGAAAAGCACCTTAAACATGTTAAGGCAAAAAATCATCACCTTGACACCCCCCCCCCAGCGGGGGGGATGGATGAGGCTTCCTATGGGGGGGTCCGGGAGCCCCCATCCCCCACGCCCCGGGGACTTTGCACTGCTCCCCCACCCCCGCAAAGGGAATATGCAACCCCCCCCCCAGAGCTCTCGGAGTGGGGGAGGCAGGAGGGGGGAGGCACCACTAATTTTTATTATTTCTATTTTAATTGTTTTCCCTTTTAGTTTTTAACCCCCTCCAAGCCCCCACCTCGCTGCGGGGGTGGGCGCAAAGCGAGGTGGGGGAGGATCCACATATGATCCCCCCATCACTGGGGCTGCTTATGGGAAGGGATCCCATAAGATGGGGGGATGAAGGGGAGGGGTCCGCTCGACAATCACCAGGGCCCCCCCGGGGGGCTTCGTGCACTACAGCCTCTCCTCGAGGGTTTTTTAGGCTCGTCGGCTTCAACGGTTAATTAATAGTCCTCGTGCCCTATAAATAACGCTGTACATAGGAGCTCCCCCCCGCACACACACATATATATATATGGGGCTGCGGGACAGGGGGGCCCTGCGGGCTGCACGCACCTAAAGGTACTTTAAAGCGCAAAGAAATATATATATATAAATATCACTATATATATATATATATATATATACACATACCCCGCTATATATATATGGCGTGTCCGTCGTCGGTTTGTTTCTGGTTTGGGTTTGTTTTTCACGTATTCTTGAGTTTGGAAGTGCTGCTGCTGCGGGTATGGGGAGCACCCATGGATGCCACTTTGCAGCACCCGGGAATACCCCTCTGCAGCACCTATGGGTGTCTCCCCTGCAGCACCCATGGATGCCCCCTTGCAGCACCCACGGGTACCCCGTGCAGCAGCACCCGGGGATGCCCCCATGCAGCACCCTGGGGTATCTCCCCTGCGGCACCAACGGTGCCAGCAGGCAGGCGGGAGCGGAGGTGGAGCCCGGGAGGTTGCGTGTGTGTGTAATGGGGGGAGGAACATCCCCCCCCCACCCCCCCAAATAGCGGCAGAAGGAGGGACCCTCCCAAAAGGCGCCTTTCGGGGGGCAGCCGGGGCCCCCTCACAAACCAAAAACGTGCCGCAGTGCCTCCGCGCTACCGGCTGCTCCACCGCCTTTTGGGGGGATCCTACCCTCCGCACCCCCTCCGTTCCTCCCCTGCACCCCAACCTCCCCACCCCCCGGTCTCCCCCACTTTGTACCCCTCGAGCAGCCGGATTCTCGCTTCTTGCTTCACCGCAGCCGTTACTGACCCCCCGGGACCCCTCGGGACCCCCCCCCCCGTTTCATCACGATACTCGGTTCTCCCGCCGCGCAGCCGCTGCCGATCCCCGCCGCGGGGCGGGGGGGTGGAGGGGGGGGGGGGCGGTTGGGGGTTCTGTTTGTTTTGTTTCTTTTTTGTTTCTTTTTTTTTTTTTTTTTTGGTTGGGTTTTGGTTTTTTTCGGTTGTTTCCCACCCTCCCCCTATGCAAAGAAAAAAAAAAGAGACAGAAAAGAAGAAAACAAAACAAAACAAAACAAAAACTGACACGGGGAAGAACAAAACAAAACAAAACAAAAAAAAAAGAAAAAAATAAAAATCATTAAAAAAATACAAAAGCCAGAAAATGTACAAACATTAAACGAGCTCTGCTTCAACTCCCGCCCGCCTCCGGCCGTCCTTTGCCACCGGCACCAAGGCACCGCTGCGGTGCGCTGGGGTGTACTGGGCTGTGCTGGGATGTATTGGGATGTACTGGGGAGCTCTGGGATGTACTGGGGTGGATTGGGGTGCACTGGGCTGTACTGGGATGCACTGAGCTGTGCTGGGCTCTGTTGGGATGTACTGGGGTGCACTGAGCTGTACTGGAGTGGATTGGGGTGCACTGGGAGCACTGGAGTTCACTGGAGCAGAGTCATGGCGGGCAATGGGTGCCCATCACCCCCTCCCGCTCAGTCTATAGGGGACACAGGGGGGTGCAGCTGCGGGGTCCCACTGCCACCGCCTTGCTCAAATGACGTCATCGCCTCACCGGTGTGACGTCGTTGCCCTCACCCGTAGGACGGCGTTGGCCCAAATTGGGGGTCCCCACTGGCCCCGCCCCACCCAGGGGGTCCCCGGTGTCCCTGTGACACCCCCACAGGCCCCGTCCCGGCGCAGTGACACCAGACGGTTGACACTGGGGACTTTTACTAGGGTTCATCTCCCCCCCGCTACGGGGGGACCCGCCAGATGCAGGGATGGAGGGTGCGGGGGGTCCCTGCGCTGCCTTCCCGGATCCACTCCTGCGGGGGATCCACGCCGGATTGCGGCTGCAGCCGGAGCCGCCCCACGACACCTCCCGTTCCGCGGCCGCAGCCGCAAAACCCGGCGCGGATTCGCGCCCCGCAGACTGGGGTGGGGGCTCGATGCCCGGTGGGGCGTCCCGGCGCCCGCCTCGACCCCGGCTCACAGCGGCGTAGCTTTCTTATGCCCTTCGCCGTCGCTCTCCTCGCCGCTGCCCTTCTCAGCCGCCAGGTTGACGCAGCCGGTGCGCTCCAGCCTGCCGGGAGGGACGGTAAACGGTGCACGAGGCCGCCACCGTGTTCTCTGGCCGTGCTCAAGGCACGCCGGGCATGTGGCCGTGTCAGCGAGGCCCCCAGCGAAAGGCCCGTGGCAGCCCCGCAGAGCCCGGCCCGTGGTACCTGCTGGTCCGCGGGGTGTCCTGAAGGCCGCCCTGCTTCCTGAGAGGAGATAGAGGAGTGAGCAGAGCTCCAGGATGCCCTGTCCCTTCCCTGCAGCTCCCGCGCTCGGCCTCGGGCATGGCCGCCCCCCCCGGCCCGGCCCAACACCCCCAACCTGCGCATCCGGAGCTTCCAGAGCCGGTTGACGAGGAGGAGGATGAAGACGACGAAGAGGAAGACAACGACGGCTGTGAGGCCGACGAGCCAGGGCTGCAGCTCCTTGGGGCCAGTGCCTGCACAGCCAGGGATGGGGACAGCTTCAGAGGAGCCCCATCCTGAAGGGGATGGACTCCGCATCCCACAGCACAGGGTCCCAGACATTCACCACCCGCTCCCCACCATCTGTCCCGTGCCACCCTCCACAGCCAACCTGTCCCCAGGAGAGCATAGGGACAGCAGGGAGCACAGGGGGCAGCAGGTGGGTGCCCTCACATCTCTCTGCTCTGCCCCCAAAGTGGTCGCTGCCAGGGCACTGGGACAGACTGGTCCTGCTGGAGATGGGAAGTATGGGGGCACCTACCGTCCTGTCCCCAGGCAGTGGTGGCGAGCATGAGCAGGACCAGGAGCGAGAGGGGCTGCCAGGCCCTCAGCATCTTTGGTGGGAGGTCAGCAAAGGACTGCAGCACTCCGGATCCTGCACCCCAACGTGGGTCCTGTCCCAAAGCCAGTGACGGGCAAGTGTGGGTGCTGCTCTGTGCACCCGGGGCCAAGGAGCAGTTTTTATTGCACTTGAGAGGACAAGTGTCACCAACACCACAGCAACGTGCTCCTTGGGAGGTGGCACCGGCACTGGTTCAGACACGGGTCTGTGGGTGCTGGGGTCCAGCATGGGTGGATAGAGAGGGATGGATGGAAGGAAGGAAGGCCCAGTGCCCCATCCAGTCTATCACCTCTACCCATGGGGTGCTACACACCCTGTCCCAGCTGGCAGTGCTGGGGCAGATCCAGGCCACTGCTCCATCCCCACAGACACAGCCCCCAACCTGCCATGCTGTGGGGACAGAGCAGTACAGGGGGACACGCACGGGTAGTGCCAGTCCAGCCGCAGCTGCCCTCAGGCCTATCTATGCCCCAGATGCATTGGCTAGTGCTGGAAGGACTCAGTCATGTCCCTGGGGAGCGCCCAGTACTGTGGGGAGCTAAACATTAACGGTGTTATCAGGAGACCTTGGCAGGGTGCAGCCCCCACCCACCAGAACATGGAAACATGGAGGCATGGGATGCCCGGGAGCACCTCGGGGATGGACTGAGGGTACCCTGCCCATGGCAACCCCTGAAGGGACCTGGGGACAGGGCCCCTGCTGAAGGGGGCGGTGTGAGGTAGGGGGGTGGAGCCCCAGCCTGGGTCTAAGGGGGGGGGGGGCATCTGGACAAGGCAGCCCATCTCCAGTGCCCCCACCTGCAGCTTTGCACCCCCAAGACCAGCTTTGGGTGTCACCTGTGGGTGCCCCTGAGCTCTGCCCCATGAGGAAAGGGCATAGCCTGGCAGGGTCAGGGCAACAGGGTGCCAGCGGGAACAAACCCAGCCTCAGTGTCTGTCTGTCTGTCCCTCTGCACGTACAGTCACGCTGACATCGGCCTCCCTGCGGGTGCACATCCCCACGTGTCCATGATCATGTGTGTGTACCCATGCCCCTGCGCCCATGCCAGGGTTTTGCATCCCCTTCACACCCCCACACGTGTGTAACACACGCGCCTCTCCCCACGTGCCTGTGCCCAGCACAGGGAATGTCCCTGCTGTCCCCAGGTCAGGGTGTCCCAGGACTGCCCCCTCCCCATGTGCACAACAAAGGGGCAAGCGAGCAGGGACAGGGCAGGAGCCTTTATTGGGGGCAGCGATGGCAGCCCTGAGATAGTGCTGTAGGGCTGCAGGAGGACCTGGCTGCAGGGAGGGCTCCGGGGTGCTGGTGGTGGCAGGAATGGGGCATCCCCCAGCTCTAGAACAGCCTCTTCTTGTGGGAGTCGGCAAAGGAGATGGAGCTGCGCGGGGTGGATGGAAGCAGTCGCAGCACGATGTCCGTGCCCGGCACCACTCCTGCGCCTTCACCCTCCAGCTCCCTCTCTCCCAGGGTCCCATCCTCCTCCAGCCACACCACCTCCGGCACTGTCCCCTTGGCCATCACCACCTTCTCCTCCTCCGCTTTGGGCCCGAACGCCCAATCTGGGGGGGCAGAAATGGAGCTGTCAGCAGCACAGCCCCATAGCAAAGGCTCTGGGTGACCCACCTCACGCAGCCCCTCATCCGCCCTCGCTGCAGGTAGCACTCACCAGCAAAATCATGCACCAGGTCCTTGATGAGGTGGCCAACAATGGCGTAGGCCACCAGCAGCACCAGGGTGGACGCCATCATCAGGTAGAGCACATAGCGGGGCAGGCGGATGCTGTCCAGTGCAGGGGGTTTGTACTCCACATAGAGCACCCCATCCTCCTCGTGGGGAGACTGCAGCAAGTTCCGCGGCCCCCAGGCCTCCCTGGGGCTGGGGAGTGGGGTTCCCCCCGGCAGGGCCATCAGCAGCTCCCCCCAGTCACCAAGGGACAGAGCATCCATGGGAAGGAGCTTAGCGCCCGCTAATCCAGGCACAGCACTGGCGGGCTCCACCTGAGGGGGGCTGGGGAGCTGTGACATGGCCCAGGGTATCCAGAATCTGCCCCCCTGGCAGCTCCACAGGTCCCTCCATCTCCCCAGAAGTGGGGAATCCCCCACAGCTGGAGAACCCCCAAAAGCAGGGATGGCAGGGACAACAGACACAGCCCAAAGCCTCTCCCAATCCCCTGGGCTTGGTTAGGTCCCACGGGCAGATTGTGCAAGATGCTGCACAGGATGCGACAACCTCTGCGCCAGGCAGAGATGGGCAGGGTGATGGGCACCACATCCCGACACCAAGGGGGCCCATGGGGACCCTTTGCTGTGCTGTCGCCTTCCCAGGGCTTTATGTCAGCCCCGCACGTGGCAGCAGCACCCAGCACTGGCCAGGGGGGGTGAAGGTGTCCATGAGGTTCAGCTCCAAGTCCGGGCTCAATACCCAGGTCCTGCTCTGCCCTGGCACACTGGGGTGCACTGGGCTGTACTGGGATGGGCTGCTGAACTGTAGCCTGGCTCTGCTGCACCCAGCTCATCCCTGGCCAGATCCTGGCTGCAAAAATGCCAGGTTTGTTCCAACTTGGGTTTAAAAGGCCCTTGTGGGGAGCAGAGGCAAATGGCAGTGCAGATTTAGAAACAACGCTGCGTGGCCCAAGTGAACCTGGACAGGGAATGGTGGAGAGCAAAGGGTGGGAGCTGCTGACTCCAAAACAGTGTAATAATGTCACGTTTTTGTAGTGCTGAGAAACAGAGAGAGGTTTGGTGGGCTTCAGGCTCCATGACACACACAGGTGACCCCATCCACAGCACTGGGACACGCAGGTCTGACTTGCAGTGAGCACATGGGTTACCTACAGAAGTTGTAGATGATGCTTCATCCCTGGCAGTGTTCAAGGGATGGGGCTTGGAGCAACCTGCTCTAATGGAAGGTGTCCCTGCCTGTGGCAGGGGGCTGGAACCGGAGGCTTCCCACTCCAGGGCACAGGCTATAGCACTGCGCTGGATTCCTGCTGGAGCTCCTGCTGCCAGCACTTAGCTGCCTGTCAGCCAAGCCCTGTACCCACAGCAGGTGCCTGGGGGTGCTGGGTGACAGCAGCAAACCCTAGCCTCAGTCCCCTCCAGGTCTGGTTCAATGTGGGGGAAGTCCAGGCAGGCTCTGCCTCACCCTGTAGCCCCGATGGCAGTGGTGCTCCCTGCAGAGAGCAAAGCGCAGCCAAGGCTTCCAAACTGCCATGAAACAACGCCCATCCCAGGGCAAAGGCTGTGGCAAGCACAGCTCTGGCCTGCCCTGACAGGTCAGGCCGAACACACACAGCTCCTCCACTGCAGAGGCAAGGAGGGATGAGGCTCAGCACGAGCACCAGTGCTGATTTTGAGGCATCACATCCCTACAGCCTCCAGAGTGAGTGCCCAAAGCCAGCCCCGGCCTTCCAGCAAAGCTCCCCAGAGAAAGCAGAGCTTTTCCACATGGAGCCACGATGGCAGCACAAGCCCAAAGCAGCTCCAAGGCCCCATAAGGCCACAACAGGCTCTGATGTGCTGAACACAGCTCACGTGGTCCCAGCTCTGAGCCAGGCTGCAGGTAAGCAGGGAAAAAAAGGCAGATCCAGGAAACTGAAGGTGGTGGGAGAAGGGCAAGTACCAGCTCAGCCTGGATTTGGAGGGAGAATGCAGCTGTAATTGTGCCAGAGACTGAATCCAGTTCATCCTCCACCTCTGCCACAGCAAGGCATGGATCCACATCTCTGGAAAGGGCCATGACAGTGCTGCTGGGGTGGGGAGAAAGCAGCATCCCCATCCTGCACCTTCCAGAGCTGGGGCTCAGGCCGAGGCCTGCAGCCTGCAAAGCCCATCAGCATACTGGAACTGGTCCCCGCTCTGGTACTCGAACATGTCCAGGGCCACCTCGCAGCTCTCGCGCACCACGCGCTCCGCGTCGCAGGCGAAGGTGCGCAGGGTCTGCAGGCAGGAGGGGTGGGCTATAGAGCCCAGCGCTTCGGCGCACTCATGGCGCACCATGGGGCTCTCGGTGAGGCTGCACAGCGCAGCCGTCAGCTGTGGGACACAGGCCTCGTCCTGCATTTGGCCCAGCACATAACCAATCTCGTGGCGGAACAGGGCACTGCCACAGCGCAGTCCTGTGGGTAGAGCATAGAGTGAGCTGCCACGGCCCCGAAGGGCACGGTGTGTGTGGTCAGAGCCCCACACCCAACCCCAAAGCCATGGGGAGCACACCTGGTGGGTTAGAGCTGGCAGTCGCTGCCACAGACCACAGGGGAAGGGACAAAATACCTATGGGAAGGGGTATCCCACCTGCTCCGAGCCTGCATGGCCACAGCAGCTCTGGCACAGAAAGACTCTCTTGTGATGGAGCTGCTGTCACCTCTGCCTGCCTTGGGGAGACTGCACTGCCCATGGACCCTGCTCCACCAGCACAAGGTGCCTGGGGGTACTGGCATCTCAAGTCCTGCCATGCTGTGGGGCTGAAGAGCTGCAGCAGGAACTACCTATTTGTCACAGACTGCTGGAGAGCCTCAAGTGCTTCCCTCGTACTGGGTTGTGCACCCAGAAAGTTCCTGGGCTGTGGTTCACCCTTTCCCCACCCAGGGGACATTTACTACCCTCTCTAAAGCTATTCCCAAACCCCAAGAGGAGGTTGGCAGCTTCCAGCTTGAGAGCAGGGCCCAGGTCATACCAAGAAACATCAGGTAAGACTGGTTGGTCCCTGGCCAATATTACAGCCTGTGCTCTCTCTCACTCGGACCCACGGAGCAAGGGAGGACATTACAGGGGCTGTGAAACACAAGAGAGCACCAAGTGCTTTGCAATGTGGCTCCTGCAGCAAGCAGTGGGCAGCAGCTCTGGAACCACACAGGTGAAGAGCCCAAAAGGAGCCGCAAAGCTCTGGATTTGGGAAAGGCTAATCCTGGATTAACCTACAGAGTGTTACAGCACAGAGCCTGCCCTCACCATCCGCCAGTGCCAGCACAGCAGCACGTCCCCCCACGTTCCGCAGGGCAAACATGGCTCTGTAGCGGTCGAACAGTGGCTGGGACTCGTCCAGGAGGGTCTCACGGAGTTTGGTGACATTCGTCTCCTCCGCAGGGGGCGCAGGATCCACAGAGAGGTAGGGGCTGCTGCCTAGATTCTGCTTGTTCTCCTGCAGCCACTCCAGTCTCCTCACTGCCAACTGACATGTCTCAGCCACCTGCAGGGATGAGGACAGAGCCCTTGTGGGATGGATGGGAATGGGCTTCACTAAGACAGCAAGGAGTCAGCATGCAGGAGGAAGTTTTTCATAGAATCATGAAATCCCAGCCTGGTTTGGGTTGAAGAGAGCTAAAGCTCCTCCAGCTCCACCCCCCTGCCACAGGCAGGGACACCTTCCACTGGAGCAGGTTGTTCCCTGTGTACCCATCACCAGGGAAATGAAACCCCCTCCAGCCCCCCCACCCAAGAGCCTCACCTCAACCACAGGGTCCTCTGAATAGTGTTTCAGGATATCCAGCACATCAGGATTCCCAATAGCACCCAGGGCTTCACCTGAAGGAATGATGTGTCAGTGCACTAGCAGGGTATCTTCTGTGCTCTCCAGCAAAGCCTCGCCCTGCTCTGAAGTGAGGACATGGCCCTGACTGACCGGTGCTAAAAGACACAGCCGGAGAAATCACCACAGCAGGAACCTGGCCAGTGGGAATGGGGAGGCTCACCAACCAGTCCAGCCAGTGCCATGTGGTGAAGTGGTTGCATTCCTCCGGATCCTCCCAGCCCTTACACCCAAGATGGATGAGGCCATCATAGAATGGTTGGAGTTGGAAGGGACCTTAAAGAACACCTTCTCCTAGAGCACCTTGCTCCAAGCCCGTTTCCAACCTGGCCTTGAGCACTGCCAGGGATGGGGCAGCCACAGCTTCTCTGGGCACCCTGTGCCAGCGCCTCAGCACCCTCACAAGGAAGAGCTTCTGCATAAGAGCTCATCTCAGTCTCCCCTCTGGCAGGTTAAAGCCATTCCCCTTGGCCTGTCCCTACAGGCCCTTGTCCAAAGCCCCTCTCCAGGTTTCCTGCAGCCCCTTTAGGCACTGGAGCTGCTCTCAGGTCTCCCCTTCAGGAGCCTTCTCTTCTCCAGGCTGACCCAGCCCAGCTCTCAGCCTGGCTCCAGAGCAGAGCTGCTCCAGCCCTCGCAGCAGCTCCATGGCCTCCTCTGGAGTAACCCAAGCAGCTCCACATCAGGAGCTGTTTGGTGCCGACAGCAGCACCCAAAAGTCCCACTTACGAGCTACCCCCTCCCTGCACCCGCAGCCATCGTACCGGCCTCGTGCCTGACCATGGGCTCCTGGCTGGTGTCCTGCAGTACACGGACGAGCACTGGGATGGCTGCTTCGTCCTGCATCTGCCCCAGGCAATAGGCCAGCTCGTGCTTCAGTAGCGCAGAGTCGTCCCCGAAGGCGCTGCCGATCCAGGCCACGGCCGTGGGGCCGCCCAAGTTGCGCAAGGTGAAGAGGGCCCGGAACCGGGAGGGCAGGGGCTGCGCCGTGTCCACCAGGGCCCGGCCCACGGCGTTCACTTCCTCCTCCATCACCATCACACCGGAGGGGAGCGGGGCCTGTGGCACGCGGGGCTCCGGTCACGGTCCTGCACACGGGAAGTGAGGGAGGCCTTCGGCCGCCGGCGGCTCAGCTGGGGGAGGGGAGACCCCGCGCCTGTACCGGCGGGACCCGGTTCCACCGGACGCCCCGCAGAGCGGGGATGGGACCGGACGAGCCTGAGAAGGGGAGGGGGTGGGGGTCACACGAAACCGGTCCCGCACTCACCGAGGTCCGCCATGCTGCTCAGCCACGTGACTGCGCCACAGCTCCTACCTCCGCACTTCCGGGACCGCCCATGGGGCCCTCCCTCCCCCCGAGTGGTTCTGGCCGCAGAGCAGTGGGGCCGGCGCATGCGCGGTGGCAGCGAGCGCAGGCAGCGGGGTCCCGGTGCCCGCCTGCGGCTGCGCCCAGGCCCACCGCGGCGGAGCTGCCGGGAGCCGCGGAGGGCTTCGGCCGCAGCCCGGGCGTGAGCGGGACCCCGGGACCATGAGCTTGGGGCGAACGGCTCCGGGGAGGGACTCGGGCTGCGGGAGAAGGAATTGTTCCAGTCTCCATCTAAGCCTCCCCTGGTGTAGCTTGAGGCCTTGTTCCTTGGAGCAGAGCCCAGCCCCTCCTGGCTCCACCCTCCTGTCAGGCACTTGCAGGGAGCAGTAAGGTCCCCCCGAGCCTTCTCTCCAGACTGAACCTCCCAGGTCCCTCAGCTGTTTCCTATCACACTTGTGCTCCAGGCCCTGCAGCACCCCGTTGCCTTTCTCTGGCCCCGCTCCAGCACTTCAGTGTCTCTGTTGTAGTGAGGAGCCCAGAACTGAACACAGGATTCGAGGTGCGGCCTCACCAATGCCCAGTGCAGGGGCACAACCACTGCCCTGGCCCTGCTGCCACACTGGTGCTCATACAGGCCAGGATGCTGGTATCTTTTTGGCTGCCTGGGCACAAGCTGCTCAAGTTCAGCTCCATCACTTGGCACCTCCAGATCCTTCTCCGTGAGCAGTTTCCAGCTGCTTTTCCCCAAGCCTGGAGTGTTTTCAAGGGCTCCCCCTGGTTTCAGCCTGACAGAACGGCCTTTGAACAGAGCCATGCTCCCCAGAAAACCCAGGCAGCACCCACCCACCCAGCCCCGCTCCCCACCTTTTCCTCTCACCACACACCGCCAGACTGCTCTATGCCTGGAAGAGAGTAAAGGGCACAAAATACATTCCATTGCCTGAAACAAGTGGCAAAAACAGGATGAGGACAATGCAGCCACCCCCTTTCCCCATCCTGGGAATGGCCAATGCAGTCAGCAGCCCTTACTGGACATGGGAGGACACAGTCCTTTGCCGAGCAGCATGGTACCACTTGACCAATGTCTGCTGGAGGAAGTCCACAAGCAGGGATGTGCAGGGCTGCTCCTTCCCACCCCAGTCCCATCATCCCTCCCCAGATCTTCCCTCCCCGCAGCTCTCGAAGTACTGGCACATGAGTTCCCGCACTTGCTCAGCCCGTCCATCCTCCATGGCAGTGGGTGCAGGCTGGCAGGGCTTGGGCAGCTCAGTGGGCTCAGTGCCCTCCAGCCACTCCTGGTTGAAGGGGTTGTCGTGGGCTTCGCAAACGTTGTGCAGGATGCAGCAGGCAAGGACGAGGGTGGGCAGCAGCTCCAGGCTGCAGTCATCACACTTGAGGAGGATCTGCCAGCGTGCCTTCAGGCGCAGGAATGCATTCTCAATCACGCTGTGCGCCCGCTTCAGGCGGTAGTTGAACTGTAGCTGCCGCTGAGTGAGGGTCTCATCCTCCTGGTAGGGCTTGAGAATCCAGTCTTGCAAGGGATAGGTGGCATCACCCAGCAGCACGTACTTCTGTGCCTTCCCCATGAAGTGCTTGGGAGGGTTGGGGCACAGCCGGCCCTCCTTGGCCAGCACCCACAGGCTGGAGCTCTCCAGTACCGCGCTGTTCTCCATGCTGCCAGGGAAAGCAGTGGAGACATCCCAAAACTGGCCCAGCCCATCCACAGTGGCCTGTGTAAGGATGGAATGCCAGCCCTGGCCATTGCAGTAGTCAGCACTGAGGCGCAGGGGAGGGTGGATGGGGATGTGAAGGCTGTCCAGGGCACCGATGCAGTGCGGAAAGCCCCAGCGGGTACGGAAGATGCGCACCATGTTCTCCAGCTCCTTCTCATTGGGTAGCCGGAGGTAGAGGGGCTTCAGCAGCAAGACAACTGCATAGCTCACCTCCCGCACACACGTCTGCACTGTGGAGGGCCCCACACCAAAGAGAGGGCTCAGAGTTTGGTACTCCACATTGGTGGCCAAGTGCCACAGGGCCACAGCCACCCTCTTCTCCAGGGGCAGGGTGGGGTGGAAGTGGGCGCTGTGCGGAGCCAGCCCAGGACGCAGCTGGTTGCAGATGTAGAAGAAGGTCTCCTTGGACATCCGGAACTTCTCCAGCCAGTCCCGGGGACTAAACTCCTTCAGCACCACCCGCTCCCACCAGTCTGCCCCCGTGACACCAGGCCAAGCACGGGGGTAGAAGTAGCAGCTGGTTCTCCTCCGGCGAGCAATCAGGAGCTGCAGTGCAGAGGGGAGACAAGAGGGGAATGAGGCGGTGCTTCAGAAACTCATAAAACAGTTTGGGTTGGAAGGCACCTTAAAGCTCATCCGGTTACAACCCCCTCATGTCCTCATCGCCATACACCACATTACCTATCATTTCCAACCTGTGTCCCCACGTGTCCTTCGTGTGCCACATCCTTTGCTTCCCTCTTGCACTTCTCACGTCCCTCACCCTTTGTGTCCTAGTCACCTCTATGTCCCACATCCTCCCCATCCCACCCCCTTGCCCTGTGCCCCCCCCCCCCCCCCCCCCCCCCGCATCCTCCATGTCCCTGGGCTTCCCCCTCCGTGTCTCTGTCCCACTCATCCCCTGCTCCCGGGCCCCGCGGGCCGTGTCCCCGTGTCCTCCCCCCGCGCTGGTCGCGCCCTCCGCTGTCACCGTCATGAGCCGCTTCTGCCGCTGGCTGTAGTAGTGCCGGAGCCAGGCCCGCCGCTGCGGCCCGTCCCAGGCGCCGGCGCTGGTGCCGGGCATGGCGCGCCGCCCGCCCGTCCGCCGCCGCGCCAGCGCGCACAGCAGCACCACGAGCCGCTCCCGCATGGTCAAACCGGGACCGGGGGCCGTGCGAGAGGCTACCGGCGGCGGGGTCACGGCGGCACCGGGGACGGAATGGGCGCAGTGCGGCCGGCTCTCTCCCACGCCGAGCCCTGGCTCCGCCGCCCGGACACGCCACTGGAGCGCGGTGGAACCTCGGGGCAGCGCTGGGGGAGGCACGACCCGCACCGCGGGGCGGCACCGGGACTCGGGCAGTACTACCGCCTGTTCGGGCCGCCGCGCGGTGTCAGCAGCGGCGGGGGCTAGGCCGCGGGGAGCAGAGCGGGCCGGGATCCAGGCCCCGGGACAGCCGGAGGGGCCGCGATCGAAACCAGGCCGCCCCGTACCGGCGCCGTGACGCCAGCGCGCTGAGAGCTGACGTCAGACGCTTCCCCCACGCCGGGGTTGCGGCTGTTGCCATAGCGCCACTTCCTGTATTGATTCGAAAGGAGGCGACGGGGGCGCTCCCGTCGTACCCCGCGCGCGGGGGGCGGGGTCAGCGCTGTGGGGTTGGCCGCCATATTGCAGAGGGCTCGGGCTGGCAGAGCCTGCCGGGAGGAGGCGGAGCGGGGCCGGGCCGGGCGGGCAGGGCCCGCAGGTAGGTGGCGGGGGCCGGCAGGTTCGGCGGGCGGTGGGGCTGCAGCCTGGGCTGCTGTCACGGCGGCGCGGGGCGCGGCCCGTCCCGTCCCGTCCCGTCCCGTCCCGTCCCGTCCCCATCCGTGGGCCGCCGAGCTTGATGGACGGACCGGGCGGGCCCGGTGCGCGGCTGGCGCGGCGGGAGCGGAGCGCGGCCCGGGTGTCATTCTTCCGGGGCAGTGCCGGTGGGCGGGCGGTTGGCGGGTGGTGCCGGCGCCCCAACGGCTCCTTCCTCGCTTGTGCCCGCGATGCCCGGGCAGGACGGGGCCGGCGCTGCCTCCGTCTCGGAGCCGATGCTGAGTGAGGGCTCTGCTGCAGCGCCTGGAGGCCGCGGGCCTTCGTGCACCGGGCCCATCTGCTAACAGTGGTGCGCTGGAACCAGGGGCAGCGGGGGCCTGTGTCCAGGCCCGGTGGTTCAGACTTCTGGCTGTAGAGCCTTTACCCGGCCCTGCTCCAGGTGAGCTGACACCGGAGCTGGCTTCGCTACTGTGGCTTCACCCTTTCTTGGCTTCTTGACCAAAGTGACACCATGAGCAGTGGTTGAGTGTGTCTGGTGTGGGCTCTAGTAGAAGAGCACCCAAACAGTGACAGAAACTTGGGTCAACAGTGGATTGTTCGTGACCAGAACAAGTTCATGATGTGCCGTTGTCCACCCTAGGGCTTCTGAGGGGTCTGAGAGAGAATGTCACCACATCCTCCATTAGGGTCTTGTTAATGTGGTGGGGATGTCACATGTTCAGCAGGTTACAGGTTTGAGGTCTTGAAAGTCCAACCTGAACATCGTCTGGGGTGCTGGAGGGGAAGAAGAGTTGTTAAAGCTCATGAGGACTTTTGGGCCATGATGCCTGCAGAATGTTTTGTTTCCGAGGTTCTTCACAGCGCAACCCCTTTCCTGGCAACAGCATCAGATACTAAAGCCTGATTTACTTTATTATTGACTCAGAAGCAGAGTTTTCTGGGACTGTTGACTGAAGCCCCAGTTGAAGCTGTTCTGTTGTCTGAATCCTCTTTCTGTTGTTGACCATTGCAGCCCCAGCAGGTTAGATGTTATGAGGAAGCAGACTTTGAAAGAGCTCCCCGGCCAAGGCTTCTTGGCAGTTCTTAATCTTGGCTTTTAGTATATAAACTGCTAAAACCCCACCAAGCAAAAGAGCCTGAAGGTCCTACAAAACATTTCAAAACACATACAGTGAGTGACCTTTCTTGTGATCCCTTCTGATCCTAAGAAAGTCCTCTGAGTCTGGAATGCGTAACATGGAAAAACTCCACCTGTATAAAGGCTGAAATCCAGGCATTTCATCCATCCTCACTCCTTTATTATCAGCTCTTGGTGTGCAGGGAAGTGGTAGAGTCTACATCACAGGGGGTATTTAAAGGAAGCGGTGCTCAGAGACATTGGTTACTGGTGAACACAACAGTGTTGGGTTAATGGTAGAGCTCAATGATCTTAAAGGTCTTTTTCAACCTAAATGATTCTGTGCAAAAGAAGTAAATATCTTGTAGGTAACAGCCAAAAGGAATGCTGTTGTATGCTGGTTGGTGAGTAGCTGACAGCAGAACCTGCGTTTCTCCTGTCTGTCCATCAGGTTGTCCAAAATGTGTGTTTATGTGGCAAAAGCTGCCATCAGGTGACAATGGAAGCCGAGGTGCAGTGGCTGCAGTTTAGCCTCTCTTGACTGTGCAGTGGCTGCACGTGGCTCAGCTCTCGTCTTCAGGGGCCATTTGGTGGTTAGGTGAAGTCAAAGCAGAACACAAGGTCGATGCCTCTCCTCTCTTTGTCAAGTAGGAGCTCAAGGGAATAGTACCCAGCTCCTTCCCCAGTGTGTGTCCTAACCTCTGGCACCTGCAGAAAGGGATAGTGTTGAGCACAGCAGGAACCCGTTCCTGACATCCACAGGAGCAGCAAAACTTGTTCAGCACTTGATGTTTCTTAAACATGAGCTGCCAGAGCTGAACCTGATCCTGCACTCAGCCTTCAGAGCTGTGCTTGAGCCTCTGGAACAGCCAGAGAGAAAAGAGGAGGTGTTCAAACACTGTTTAACATAGGTACCTGCTAATGATTGCATCTCTCAAACTGGAGTTGTATTTCCAATGTCTCTTATTTGGTTTTCTTTGATAATAGATGAACCTCTTGGGAGATGTTCTGTTAATCAAATGCAGAGGTTGCCTTTTGTCCCAGAGGCAAGAGGTGACCCCGTGGTGAGTATGTGTTGTGTGTTCATGCTCCTGTTTCTCTTGCCCTGCTGAAGACTTTGTACTTCATTCTGGGTTTCCTGGGAACAGGTGTGTCCCTCTTCATTGTGGAGAAGTGAGAGGAAATAATCCCTCCCTGCAGGCCATGAAAAGGGTGATGATCATAATGGTGACAACCTGAGAAATCCTCTGCTGGGTACACTATTGTCATGTCTGCTTAGATAAACTGTGCTTCTGACAGGCTGCTCTGCGCTGCAGCGAGGTGTGTGGTGAATGAAAATGTGCTCTAGGAAGTAACACACCTCCAGTTCTCCAAACTTCTTCTCCTAACTTACTAAAAGCTGGCTGGAGCAAATGTGGAACCCTCTCATCTGGGGCCTGGCTGCTGCATGGGGTTGATGGTCATGCTTGTATTTGAGCCTTGACTTGAGCAGTTGAAAATGTGCTTGTCCTTTGAGTACAGCCCAGCAGGCGTGACTCTGGCTTCCCTTCCAGTTATGGGGAAAAGAGGGGGAGGGTTAGGGAAAACGTCTGTGCTGAAAGCAGTGGCTGTACCTGAGTATTGCCAATCTAAGAGGCAGCAGTAGCAGTGTTCTTGGTAGGCTTCCTGCAGTGTTTCCTTTGGGCAAGGGTTTGCATCTGAGAGCAACTGTTTTGTGTTTGGAAACCCTCTGGTGTTGTCCTGGTGTGCTGGAAGTTTGAATATTGGAGGGAGGGGCATTATTTACTGAAGGCTTCTCCCTAGACAGAGATTTTCCTGTTTCTTGAAGCTCTCACAACCCTGAGTGTTGGGTGTGAAAGTTCACACCACGTGCAGAGCTGTCAGTCATCCTTGGCTCACACAGTTCCCTGCCGCACTCCATGACCTGAGTGTCCTAAATTAGTGCTGTTGCTGTGTGGTTGCTGGTCAGCATTCCTTTGTCACCTCTCTAGGGCTGTAGGTTGCTTTGGAAAGGTATAAATTAAGCTCCTTAAGGGGAAACCTTAGAGCAGCTCCCAGTGCCTAAAGGGGCTGCAAGAAACCTGGAGAAGGGCTCTGGACAAGGGTCTGTAGGGACAGGACAAGGGGAATGGGTTTAACCTGCCTGAGGGGAGATTGAGATGAGCTCTTAAGCAGAAGCTCTTCCCTGTGAGGGTGATGAGGCACTGGCACAGGGTGCCCAGAGAAGCTGTGGCTGCCTCATCCCTGGCAGTGCTCAAGGCCAGGTTGGACACAGGCTTGGAGCAAGCTGCTCTAGTGGAAGGTGTCCCTGCCCGTGGCAGGGGGTGAGACTGGGTGAGCTTTAAGGTCCCTTCCAGCCCAAAGCTGTCTGGGATTCCGTAATTTGATGATTCACGTGTTAAGCCACAAAAGGAAGAGGAGGGGATGATGACCCATGGCATTTTTTGTGATTTGAGAGGCCCTGTTAGCCTTTAATGCAGATTTCATAGATCAAGGGTAGGTCAGGTTGGTGATGAATGAATTACAAAAGGAGGGGGAGTGCTTGACATGCGATGCATTCATTTTTTTTTTAACCTCCTTTGTTAATAGCATCACAGACTTCTGTAATTTCTCCCTCGCAGTAATGGAGTCTCTGACTCTTCACCTGGGGATGATCAGGTTGGCATGAGATACCCCAGGGATGCTCCAGCAAAAGCATTGGGATGCTTAATGGCAGGGAGGAAAAGACCTCTGCATTTCAGCATCTGTAAGAAGTACAAGTTTAAGCACTAAGAAATAGTTCAGCTAAAGGGAAGGTATCTCTGCTCCAGGCCATGCTCTAGGTTTCATGTGCTTTAGCTTTCAAACTAATTACAGAGAATATTGTAATATTTCAATCATGCCTCACTGAACCTGTCTGAGCTTGGTGCCAGTTTCCAGACGCAGACCCTGGGTGGTTGTTTTTTTCTTCGAGGTAAAGCTCCCTGCAGCAAACCTCTCCCACTGCAGAGGGGGCTGAGGCCTGTGTTAGATTCCACCTTTCCCTTTGGAGATGTCTTGGGTTTAAAGACCAACTTGGCACCTCTCTTCTGGCATTTGTGTCAGCATAACCTAGGGGCAAAGCATGAGATGTGTGTGAGTTGGGCAGCAACATTGCTGCTCTGTGCCCTTCAGAGCTTGGAGCTAGCCAAGAGAAATTGGGAGAGCATGGGCATCAGCCATTGGATGTTAACCCAAGGGGCTGCCTAGTCCATAGCAGTGTGTGGTACTAAGAGTCTGCAGGACTTTTGACACGGCTAAAAGTTACCCCAGGCAGTGTCAGCACCGTAGTGTGCACTGCTGTGGATAGGAAAAGTGGTTTTAGGTTGAAAGAACAGACAGAAGAGGTTGGGAAGAGGCTGCTTCTATATGAAATGGTGGAATAATCTGGTGGTTTTCTTGGCCTGTTTGTTGCAGCAGACTAATTACTGATTGGACTTAATGCACGCAAAATCCTGAGCCTGCTGGACTCTCAACCTTTCTGCTTCCCAGCATGGACCAGGATTATGAGAGACGTCTTCTACGCCAAATCAACATACAGAATGAGAACACAATGCCTTGTGTGAGTACACATGGGCTCTGCTGAGTGCTCTTGGTCTGACTGTTAAGTTTTCTTGTGACTGTTTTCCCTTGAGCTTTTAAAAGACATGGGATCTCTTTGAAGCAAACCTTAATGTTCCCTTGGGCTGTGAGCAACTGTGAGTTCCTGGGCTGTTCCAGAATAACTGAGCAACTTCAACAACAAGGAGTTAAGATACTTTAATGTAGCTTAGTATTGCCTTCTAAATAAATGATCTCGGTAAGCACATGTGGAAAATGAAAAGCTGGGGGCTAACTAACAAACCAACCAACTGCAGGGCTTGACAAGGTAGAAAAGTCCAGTGGGGGCCACCAAGATGGTTGAAATCAGCCCTTTTCTGAGCTGGGGGTCCCTTCCAACAGAAATGATTCTATGCCAAAGCATGTGGCTGAAGGTGAGGAATGTGCTGCTCACCCTGCAGCAGTCTGTACCATTCCGCCTGCCTTGGATCTGCCTTGACAGGGTCACTTTGAGAGGGAGCACTCAGGAAGAAGCTGTTTAATTGCTTCTTTTGGGAGATGTTTCCATGATAGTTGGACTCTGATGTGCTCACTGGCTCTGTGAAGAGGATAAACTAGTGTTTGGCTCTTCTCCTTTGGCCTAGTCAGCTTTGACAAGACCCTGTTGATGTTTTTCAGACCCCTGCCATGATCAACACTCATTCTTGTATGGGTCTTTTTAATTCAGGTAGCAGAGATGAGAAGAACCCTGACGCCTTCCAATTCTCCCATGTCTTCTCCCAGTAAGCATGGTGACAGATTCATTCCCTCAAGAGCTGGGGCCAACTGGAGCATCAACTTCCACAGAATAAATGTACGTTTTTTCTCCCCTCTCCTGCAGTCTTGGAAGTGAGGAAGGGGCTGGCAGAATTGCTCTGCTTGTCTTCTGCTGCCTCAGAAGAGTTCCTTTGAGGGCATGTCTTCAAACAGGCTGCCCCTGTCGTCCAGGAGACTTCTTCACTTGTTATTTTACCACGTGTCATGATGTTTCTGTTGGTGAAAGCGTGTTTCTCCCTTTAGGAAAACGAAAAATCACCAAGTCAAAACAGAAAAGCAAAGGATGCTACCTCAGACAACGGCAAAGGTGAGGGCACACTCCTACCGCTTGTGCCAAAGCTACAGCTTTTGCTCCAAGCTCTGTTGGCAAGTTTGGAAATGGAGGGAGCACTGATACTTCAATGCTTATGCAAAAACACATGCTGGTGTGTTAGGAAATGCCCTCATCATGAGAGTGAGTCCTGGGTCAACCTCAATGGACTCCTGACAAGCATGTGGGAAGCATGAGGCTATTTCTATCTCTTGATTTGTTGTGCCTTGGAAGTCCTTTTCCGATGGACTGTGGGGAGGGAAAGCTTGCTGCAAATCTTGATTCCAAACTGTGGCTCCAGGCTTATTAAGAGGCCCTGTGAATGTTAAGTGTGATCCTGCGGCTCCCTGTGGAGCTGTCTGCTGCTGCCGTGCTCCCCGCCTAAGCACACATTTGGGTTCACAGATGGCCTTGCCTACTCTGCCTTGTTGAAGAACGAACTTTTAGGAGCAGGGATCGAGAAGGTGCAAGACCCACAGACAGAAGACAGGAGGCTGCAGCCATCCACCCCAGAGAAGAAGTCTCTCTTCACTGTAAGTGGGTTACCTGACATTAAAACCAGCAGAGGTTTCACATGTGTGCCACTGGAACAAAGCACCTCGTTCTGCCAGGCTGCTGGGGCCAGTGAGGTAGTGCTGTTCCTTGACTGAGATAAGCTGTTGATAACAAAATTGGGTGGCCTGCAAGGTGAACAGAGGGATCTGCAGCAAGCTACATACTTCCTATTTCTGTGCTGGCAGGGAAGCTGAGTTGGAACCAAGTTTTTTGGGGCAGTGTGATAAATGACCAAATCAAACTTGAGGATTTCAGTGGAGATGAGGGTTTTTTTTGTGTGGTTCTGGAGCACACGGGAAAGGGAGGAACTGGAAAGTCTGGAAAATCTGGCTGTGGGTGTTAGAGTTAGCATTGGGCACCAGCATGTGTTCTGCCAAAGTCCTGGTTGTGCTGGGGCTCTTACTGGATATGTTTTCTTTATACAGTATTCACTCAGCACAAAACGTTCTAGCCCAGATGATGGCAATGAGGTCTCACCGTATTCCCTGTCTCCTGTCAGCAACAAAAGGTAATGCTGATTCTCCGCAGACAGCAAGAAGGGAAGGGCTGGGACAGAGGATTCACTGTGTTCTCCAGGGCTTTATATTAAGGCACCAACAGTTGCTATGCGAGGTGGGTTTAGGAATCTGTGGAGATAATAAGTAGGGACAGTAAAGTTGTGAGAATTTTGTGCAGGTGCCCATCATGCTTCGATCTGTCTTGGCCAACTTCCGGTAGTCAGTTTACCTCTTTGATCTCCAGCTCCTTTATAGCAGCGCAACCTAATTCTTTCCAGTTTGGAAAGAATGTTGCAACCTCTGTATGTGTTTCTATAGCCATGCCGGTATGCTTTGAAGAGTGGCTACATTTGTGTCTACCATCTGCTGCCCGGTGTAAGATCCTGTCCTTGTTTTTGTATTTTTGTAAACAGCCAGAAACTGCTCAGATCACCTCGGAAACCTACTCGGAAAATCTCCAAGATTCCTTTCAAAGTGCTGGATGCCCCAGAGCTGCAGGATGACTTCTACCTGAACCTGGTGGACTGGTCCTCTCTGAACGTCCTCAGTGTTGGCCTTGGGACTTGTGTGTACTTGTGGAGCGCTTGTACGAGCCAGGTAAATGATCATCCATATCAAGAGAGTGAGGCACCCATTGCTGTAGCATTTTCCAGAGCTACAGTAGATGCTGTGTTAGGGATCTAGCACTCGCAATTCTCTGCCCCAGACTAGGTACTAGTCAGTGAGACAGTTAATAGTGTAGTTTGACAACAGCAAATGTTCCTTAACTCCATTCTGTCCTACTCCCAAGGTAACCCGGCTGTGTGATCTCTCTGTGGAAGGAGATTCTGTAACATCTGTGGGCTGGTCAGAACGGGTCAGTACAACATTGTCAATATCAATAGCTGTGAAACTTCATTTAGACACTCTTCTGGTAGCTCTTCCTTATAGGTTTCATTTCTTAGATTGTTTTTCCTGTATTTTCCCAAACTCCATGTATGCATTACAAAGCAAATGCGGTTTGCTGTTCTCGCTGGTTTTCTTGCTAAGTGAGAGGGGATAGAAGGCAGCCTCTTGGATCTTGAGGTTGTCGAGGTATTTGCAAAGAGGTGTGGGAGGGAGAAAAAGCCAGTTGGCTTCTCCAGTTCTTGACAGTAAAATGCTACAATAAATATATTCCAGCCAGGCTGCTTGGCACTCTCAGGAGGGAAAAGATGTAAGATGGAAGAACTTGGTATGCTTTCCCTTTTGTGGGATTTATCACAAGTCTTTTCCTCAGCTTTTAGTTTTTGTTTTATGTCTGTCTGCACTTACTGACTTTACTGATTGTGGTCTTCTGCTTCTCTAGGGGAACTTGGTAGCTGTTGGCACTCACAAGGGTTTTGTACAGATCTGGGATGCAGCTGCAGGAAAAAAGCTCTCCATGCTGGAGGGGCACACAGCCAGAGTTGGTAAGGAGGTGGGAGGAAGAGGTTTCACATGTTTTGTTTCTTCATGATTGAACTTTCTCCTGTGTGAGGGATTTGCTTGAAATAACAGAACTCAAAGTACCAGAATTGATAGTGCTATGTCTTCAGTAATCTTCAAAATACCATCACTGTGGTGTTCTGACCCTGGGTGTGGTGGTGGTGGAGGTGGAGTCTTGCAGCTGGTGTTTCTGCCATCTCTGAGGCATTTTAGGTTTGGTTACAACATCTTTTCTCACTGCCCCTGGCTTCCTGTGTCAGCCCTGCAGGCAGGCAGCTTTACACTGAGATTTCCAGTTCCCCTTTTCTGTGGGGACTCTTTTCTTTGCTCAGAGGTGCTATGAATCCAAAAGCTGGAGTGAGATTTGGGAAGTCAAGGCACTCTCCAAGTTTCTGTGCTTTATTGCACTGTGAAATGGGATTAGTGATACATTCAGTAAGGTTATGCAGGTTAATCTTCCTTTGTACACTACTCTAGGGACTTCAGAGGGATATAAGGGAGATCCATCAGCGCTGATTTTTCTTTATCTTTTTAAAACCTCGCCAACTGTGGGGTCTGTTCTGCCTCCCCACTCCTGCAGGACTCCCACAATGTGCTCTTCTGCTCTCTCTGCATTCAAGGTGCCTTAGCATGGAATGCTGACCAGCTATCTTCTGGGAGTCGAGACCGGATGATCCTTCAGAGGGACATCCGCACACCCCCATTGCAGTCTGAGCGGCGGCTCCAGGGCCACAGGCAGGAGGTCTGTGGGCTTAAATGGTCTACAGACCACCAGCTCCTGGCCTCTGGAGGCAACGACAACAAGGTATGGTACTGCCTAGGAGCCAGGTGAGCCTCAGGGTCTCTGCATCTTCACCAAGAAGCAGCAGACCCCCTTCCTTCAAGGATATATGTCCTTTCTGAAAGGGTCTTTTGTTCCAGTTGTTGGACCGTGTCCAAACAAACCATGCTGAGCCTCTCCTCAAACTCCTCTCTCTATTGAAATTAACAACGCAAATTTAATTTTGCTTCTGTATTTGGCTAATTAAATCTAGAGCTTGACTCAGGGGTTTGAGTGCAACAAAGCTACTGGTAAGCTGTGCTTCCTGACTTTATTTAGGTAGAATATAGTAGCTTATTGCAGTAATGTTTATCTATGCAGAAGGAAACTAAGTTTAGAGCTTTAGAAGTTTTAATACCTATAATGCAGGCTTGTAGTTCACTGAGCACCATATGGAAGAAGCATCTGTTGTGGAGAAGCAGTGCTCAGCACTTTGGAGTGGGTTGCTAGGTAGTGAATTTGCCCAGTGCCTGTGTGACAGCGTGGTTGTACCCAGTTCCTCCTGCTCAGAATAACTTCTAATGAACCTGAGCATATTTCTAAATGTGTTCTGGAATAATTCAGCCATAAAGGGAAAAGAAGGTTTTGAGTCATGTTTAGTGATGGCATGGTTTTGGCTTCCTAAGCTTACCTGAAACTCAGCACTCATCCTGAGAGATAGACCTACCATGTCGGGTTTGGAGCTGGATGATCTTTAAGGTCCCTTCAACCCAAACCAGTCTGGGATTCTATGACTGTGGCCCTCAGAATGGCTTCTCAGCTGAAGTGGTGGCAGGGTAGTGGTTTCAGGGCTGCCAAGTGCAGAGTGGAGATGCATGTGCTTGGGCAAGGCTGTGGGAAACGACCTTGTTGCCCAACTGCCCTCATCAGTCCCAGTGCAACATCGTGGTTTGTTGTGTGCCCGTAACACCCACTGCAGCACAAGTCTGATCACGTCTCTCCTCTGCCAGCTCCTTGTCTGGAATCACTCCAGCCTGAGTCCTGTCCAACAGTACACCGAGCATTTGGCAGCAGTGAAAGCTATTGCCTGGTCTCCACACCAGCACGGACTCCTCGCCTCTGGTGGTGGCACCGCTGACCGCTGCATACGTTTCTGGAACACACTCACGGGGCAGCCCTTGCAGTGCATTGACACCGGGTCACAAGTGTGCAACCTGGCCTGGTCCAAACATGCCAATGAGCTGGTAAGTTCCTTCCTGTGCAGTCCTACTGCTGAGCTGTCTCCTGTTCAGCAGCTTAATGCATGTTTCCCTCTCCCCTTCCAGGTGAGTACCCATGGCTACTCGCAGAACCAGATCCTCGTCTGGAAATACCCCTCCTTAACTCAAGTAGCAAAGCTCACAGGGCATTCATACAGAGTCTTGTATCTGGTGAGTGATGGCCATGTCTCTGAAAACCTCTGTAACTTCTGTAGCTGCTTTATCTGGCTGCAGATAAAGCATCTTGTTGGGGCTCCTCTTCTGTGCTGAAGATGAGGCCCAAAGCCACAGTGCCAGTGGCACTGTAAGCTGCCTGTAGTATAGGTGGAGGTATGAATGCTGCCATGTGAGCAACAGAAAATGCTCTGGATCTAGTTTCCTTGCCTGCAAGGGTTACCTTTCATTTGCTGCTATGGAAATGTGAGGTTTTATTAATGAATAGCAAAGCCTGCCAAAACACTTCTAAGGAAGCAGAAGCATCTATTTTGTTCCCTTAAGACTCGAACGCTTTTTCACTGGTGACTGCCAGCAGGGGAAGAATTTGATGCTTTCAGTCTTCCTAATTTGCCATTAAAATGCTTGGTGTAGTTAATCCCCATCGATCCCATACCTGCTTTGTTACTGCTACACAGGGCTTTCAGTGGTGAACTCACACTTCCTGCCTTAACACATATTTATAGTGTGGGGAGGAGTTGCCTCAATTACAAATGGGTTGGAGTTCCTAATACAATAATCCTTTTTGTGATAATTCTACCCATGTGTTCCATAGCTGCGTAAATAATATGCAAGTGCTTGAATTGGCACCTACTGAGACTGAATGCTGCACACGAAAGCAGAGGTAGCTGCTTGGTTTCTCACCAAGTAGGAAGGAGAGTTAAATCTCTCTTTCATTCCAATGAAGATTTGTTTTCAACCTCAGAAATGAAAGAGATGCTAAAGGTTGCTCTCTCTTGGCCTTAGGCAATGTCCCCTGATGGGGAGGCCATAGTCACAGGAGCTGGAGATGAAACCCTCCGTTTCTGGAATGTCTTCAGCAAAACTCGCTCAACAAAGGTAAAGATGTGTGTGTTGTTTGCATGGCTGCAGCTCTGTTCTGCCCTGGGGGGTCAAGTGAGTCCAAGCTTGCTCTTTTCCACTGCCTTGCTTCTGATCTCGTCACCAGATCCTGCAGATTGAGGGCTGGATGCAGTGAAGGGTTAAACTTTGCAGAGATATGAAGGTTGCCTCTGTGTGCCCAAGGCAGTGGGACAGGACATCCTTCTCCTGGCTGCTACAGGGGTGCTGCACACAGCACCATTCTGGGGAGCTCACAGACTAGCAGTTGTTTTAATGCAGACCCCAAAGGGCAGATGGAGTAGTGCTGCAGTACTTAGCCCCTGCCTCGTCTTCTCTTCTCAGGAGTCAGTATCCGTTCTCAACCTCTTCACCAGGATACGATAAACCCTCGTGCTGAGACCCAGGAGACTGCAGGCTGCCATACCAGGATGAAACCACTACCTTGGTGTGCATGGACCCCCAAGTGATTCACCAGAAGGGGAGGGGGTGCCAGTGGGCCTGGAGGATGGACCCAAGAGATGATCATTAAATACGTGCTTGTGAACATGCTGGGCAGTATTTGGGGTAGGGTTGGGGAGGGGAGGGAACTGCCAAAGGTTTATGGATTCATCCTTCATAAAAGGGTACAAGAGAAATGTTAAACCTGCATCTTCCAACCCTCATGTTGTGTACTGGAGAAACCACGTGTGACATGGACCTCTGAGATGGGACCAGCTGCTGCATTGTCCCCTCCTGGGAGAGACCAGACCATCTTTGCCTCTGTAGGAACAACTTTAATGTGCTGCTCTGAGTCCTGCTGTCCTTGGATGCCATCGGTGGAGGTAGGAGCCAGCCAGACCAGTTCAACATCACTCATGCATGGGGGCTGGATTCCAGGCTTGTTGCCTGGCACCCCCCTTAGAGAAAGAACCTGGAGAACTGTTTCTTTCCTTGTGCTCCCCAGGGGCGCTGTGACTCGATACAGTCATTCCAGCTTGAGTTTTGCTTTGGTTTAGGCATGCTTGACAGCTGCCTTCTAATCCATTTTGGGGAGCTCAGCTTTGGAGGAGACTTGAGGCTCCATCATGGAGGGAGCACATTCAGAAAGTGCTGAAATTGCTGTTGCATGTTCTGGGCTGATCCTTTTAGTTAACAGAGAGGAAAACCAATGGCTTGAAGAAACCCAACCAGCAACCACTGTGCAGGTGGAGCTCCCCACAGTGGTGTTTGTGGCGGGCTGGTTGCACTGGAGTCTTCCTGAGGACAAAAGCAGTTGAGATGTGTCTGTGAAACAAAACCACTCATGTGGATCTGGGTGGTTTTGGAGAGAGCAATGGCTTCTTCTGGCTGGAAGAGGGGAATAACGCCACGTCTGGACGAGAACAGGGGTTCTTTTTTGAAAGCAAGAAGCGTTGCTTTATTTTCTAACCCCCCAGGTCAAAGCCAGGGACCTGTTGTGGGGGTTTTGGGGAGGTTGTGGGGGTTTTGGGGAGGTTGTTGTGGGGGTTTAAATTGAATGAGAAGAGAGTGCCATGGCCTGAGCTGTGAAGTGCTCATGTGTCTGTGTTGCTTTTAATTTAAAGAGAAGCTGTTGTGCAGGCTGTTCCCCTCTCACTCTGCCCATATGCCAATGCTCTCCCTGCCACACCAGAATGGATGCAAGTGCTGTTTCGTCTTCCCAGTTGGATTTTCCTGCCTGTGTATATAGACCTTGATCTGTTCTCTGTAGATTGCATAAGTGATAATGTTTCTCTCTTCCTTTTCCTTCTTTCCCTGCACTGGGCTGTAATAGGGATGTGATTGCCTCTTCCCCAGTGCCACCAGTACCCGTGGTGTAGGAAGGATGTGTAGGAAGCTCCACACGGAGAAGGGCAGCGAGGTGCTGCTCTGTTCACTGCAGCCTTGACTATGGGTGCCATTCACCAGTGCCTGGATCAGGCTTTTGGTGCTTGCTCCCTTTGCATGTCACGGGGATGTATGAGGCCCTCGTGTGCCAGGCTAGCAGCACCCAGGCTCCACAGCCCAACCTGGCAGCCACACTGTGGTCTTACAGCCTCACCTGCTTCCAAAATGTCATGTCAAAGGGATTTCTGACCCACCTTTTCAACACAATGACTTTAGTGTAGTGCAGGGACATGGAGCTTGGTTTAAAAACCACCCCATGGCCTCGCAGCCCTTCTCTTCTTGTGAGGTACATTCACAGGCACTGTTAAACTTCCAGTGTGTGGAAGGAGCACTCAAAGCACTGAGGAGGAGTTAAAATTAACTTGGATCATTAAGTTGGTGAGAGCAGGTTTGAAGTCAAAGGCCACCTGCAGCAAGACACTGGCTTTCCAAGGCTTCTGTCCTGTCTGCTAACCACCATATTGGGCAGCAGCTGGGCCCAGGGTGGGTTTTTTCACCCAGGCTGGAGATGGTTGTAGGTGTTGCTGTGGATTTTCCCGTCTGTTGTAGGTTCCCTTCGGCTGAAATCCCGAAATTCAGGTGGCTTTGTGTGTTCTGGAGCAGGAGGGAGCTGAGCCCAGGGGGATGCTGCTGACTGGGAACGGCCACTTGTGTGTCTGTCCAAGCATCAGGGTCTTCTCTCCCCAGGGACTCCCACATCTCACCCTGGAGTTGCACTGGGAGCAGGTTGGCTTCTCTCCTTCTGGTGATGGAGTGAATGAGCTCTTCCTATGGACCTGGCACAACCTCCTTCCCAGCAGTGGTGTTCCCAGAGGTGCTCCCTGGGGGTTCGATGCTGCTATGTGTGTTCTATGTGAGCACAGGCAGAGGGCAGAGCAGAAGGGCCTCCCTGAGCCTGGGTTGTGAAGTCTTGGCCATGGGGCATTGTTATATGTAAGGTGGGGACAAACCCCACAGCAAGCACGTTGTGACTTGTCTGTGTAAAACAATCTAACTGGCATTAAACAAGGTGTGGATTTACGGCTCAGGGTGGCTCTGCTTCTGCTTTTCCAGGGTGAGGTTAGGGGAGCAAGGGCTTTGGCTGTGGCTGGAGGAGAAGGAAGGGGGGGGGGAGCAGTGGGAATCTGGCTGGGGGGAGATGGGGCAGCTCTTCTGCTTGCTCAGTCCCACCAGTTGGGGTCTTGCCCCCTCCTTCGAGCCTCCTCACATCCCAGTGCCTCCAAGGGCACCCCCCAAGTGGTGGGGACAGGCCCATGAGTGTCCCCTGCCTGAGCCCTGACATGCTGCTGGTGGGGACACAAAACCTGCTCCCGTGCTCAAGCAGGCCCTCACCTGGAAGACTGATCTGCTGCAGGGCAGAGCTGGTCAGGAGTGATGATGAAGAGGCTGAGAACCCCCAGTACTCCCTGGACACCAGCCACGGGTCTGCCCCATGGAGGGGGAGTGGAAGCCTGTGCCTCAGGTCTGGGCGGAGCTGGCGCATCTGGGGTGAGGAGCTCTTGGGGGTTCAGTTTCCGCCCTCCCTGGGGAGCCCCTCAACCAGAGCAGACGGAGGTTGACGGACCTCAAGGGCTTTCTGGTGTGAGGAGCCTTGGTGGGACCCCACCATCCCCAGGGACCCGTCTTGGGCAGCAGCAAGCCCGCGATGAGCTTGGGGGACTGCAAGGGAGCGCTCCTCCAGACCGCCAACCACCACACGGTGACGCCGGCCCGCAACTCCGGCCTCCCGCCGCCTCCATGGCGTGTTGGGGCGCAGCCAGGACCTCCCGCCCAGCCCGCGAGCACGCATGCGCACACACACGCTGTGCCTGCCCGGACCCGCCGCACACACGTGACCCGCGCGGGTCCAGGCAGCCCGGCCCCGCCCCCTCCCCCGCCGCCGCTGCCCCGAGCTCCACTCGGCTGCAGGGGAGACCCTCATTGGCTATCCCGGGGGGCGGAACATCCGCGCAGCACCCAATCATCACGCTCCAGCGCTCCTCCTCGGCAGCCATTTTGTTTGCGGGCGCTGCCGCCATGGCTGTTGAGGGCGGCCATCTTGCGGTGCCGGTGCCCCCCCCCTCGCGGGAGGCCAGTGCTGGGGGAGCGGGGACCCCCGCGCGCGGGGCACCCCGCAGGTCCTATCCCGGGCGCGCAGTGACGGTCAGGGCGCTCGGCTGTGTTTGTGGGTTTTAACTCCTCTCCCAGGGGCCGTGTCCGGACTGCCCTCACACAGGGGTTATACCATAGCGCTGCCCCCCCGCAGCGCGCCCCAGGGCGGTGCCAGCACTGGCGGCTGCTCCGGGCGCGCCCGGCCGAGCGGGGGGTACCCACAAGTCCAGTGCAGGGGACACGAGGCGGGGCCGGGGTCACCCCCCCCTCCCCGAGGGGCTCAGCCCCCGTCGCAGCGGGGTCGCCTCAGCAGAGCTCACGGTGCAGGGCACGGCCCTGGTTCAGTTGATGCTGGTGGTGCGGCCCCCGCCCTCTGCGCTCTCAGTCCCGCTGCAGGAGGTCCCCGCTCTGCTCAGCCCCCGTAGGCAGACGGCATCTGCATGATTAGGAGCGAGGGGACAAGTCAGGAGCCGCTGCTGCTTCCCAAGGCAGTGCAGGGAGGTTCACGCTCTCCCCCCTCACACAGCAAGATGCAGGTCATAGAAGCACTGAGTGCTGGTGTGGGCATCTCCAGCCTGGCAAGGGGCACTTCTGCCCCCACGTATGACCGCCACCACCCCTCAGTGATGGCCTGAGGGGGCCAGCGGGCAGTGCTGGGTCCTGCCCTCCAGGAGGGCAAAACACAGCAGGGACAGCTCCCAGTGCCAGGGCGCAGGATGGTGGTCCTGCCTGCCCAATGGCAGTCATATGTGGCAAGGCCACCACCAGCTCTGCCACAGGGCCAGGCTCCCACTGCTTCCCATCGGGAAGGACACTTCATCCCAGGCTGGCACAGGACATGGCACTACCAGAGCCCCCAGCCCCACTCACGGTAGCGGACGTGGATTGGCCACACCATGATGCAGCAGAGAGAGGCAATGGCGGCGACGGCAACACCTCCGGTGACCCCCACCATCACCCAGTGGTAGAAGCTGGCACACTCAGAGCAGCAGAGCTCGGACCTGCAGGGACAGGGCAAGGATATGGCTCATAGGCAGGAGCAGGGGCTGGACCAGTGCTGATCAAAGTGCCCTGACAGCAGGCCCATGTCCTCAGTCTTACGACTAGGAGGTGAAGGAAAGGTCCAAGGCAAGGAGAAGGGGCTGTACCCCACTGAGATCCCCACCCTCTTTGTGTGCCTGGAGATGCAGCCCTCATCTGGGGCTGGAGAAGTTGGGGGGTATTTATGACAAATCAGAGCAGGTTTCCACCCATGTCCCTTGCTCCAAGGCAGGGGTGTTTGCTGCCTGGCATGCAGGCGATGCGGCTGGAGCCGTCACTGTGAGGGACACTCACGGGCACGGGTGCAGGTTCTGGATAGCCATCACGGCCAGGCCGTTGGCCATCTTGTCCGTGAAGCTCATGGCGCCGTAGACGAACGCGCTGCTGTGCTGCAACGGGAGAGGAAAGCTCATGGGCCCCGCACAACGCAGCGAGAGCCTTGTGCCCTCTCATGGGCACAGCTCGTATTGCAGCAGAGCCCGTCCTCAGCGCCCTGGCAGGGGTCTCCATCCCCCGGGTCCGTGCCGG